TCCAGCAAGTTACCGAGCTGTCACTTTGTCATCTGTAAATTGGAGGTGGTGACACTGGCTGCGTCCTAAGATCGCTTTGAGGATGAAGTGAGCCAGCTCGTGTCAAGTATTCACAACAGTGTCTAGCACATGGTGACCCCTCAGCAGCTATGGTGCATTTCCCTGCATGCTAGAAGCATTCCCGAAGGACTGGTGAGACAGACAGGGCTGGAAAGGGCACATCCCAGTCCCTCGGAGATTGCATTAAAAATACAGATTTCTGGGGCGCCTGGGTGGCTCAGTTGGTTAGGCGACTGCCTTCGGCTCAGGTCATGATCCTGGAGTCCCGGGATCGAGTCCCGCATCGGGCTCCCTGCTCGGCAGGGAGCCTGCTTCTCCCTCTGACCCTCCCCCCTCTCATGTGCTCTCTGTCTCTCTCATTCTCTCTGTCTCAAATAAATAAATAAAATCTTTAAAAAAAAATACAGATTTCTGGGCACCAGCCAGCAGGTTCTGATGGAACCCAGGAACCTGTCTTTTTGGATCTGCTCCCCAGATGACTCGGATGGACAGCTGGACTTGGGAACTGTGGCACCGCAGAACATGATCAAAATTTGGGGGAAGGCGATTAGGGCTCTGGTGGTGTTTCCGCCAGCGACCCAGTGTGTGACTTTTCTGAGACTCTTGTCTTCTCCTTTGTAACAGGCAGATAACAAATTTGGTTGAATCGCAGGGTTGTTGGCAGGGGAGTGGAATTGTTAAAGCCATTTAGGCTGGGGAGGCTGGCTTACCGTGCAGGGAGGAACACAGACTTTGCAGTGAGAAGGCCTGGATGTGAATTTCACATCTGATACTGTGCTAGATACGATCCGACGTTCAGCCCCCTCTTCTTCCTCACACAACCCTGACTTTGCTTGGAATGTAAACGTGCCTGGCGGAAAATACTCCACCTCCCAGACTGCTTTGCAGGTCAGGGTGGCATAAATCTGCCGAGGATTTCTGGGAAGGCTTTTGTTCCCCTGATATAGGCACTCATTCCTGTTTCTCCCTTTTCCCTCTTCTTCCTGCCTGGAACACGGATGAGAGGCCTGGAGGTGAGGCAGCCATTTTGTTATTATGAGTGGACAAATACGGGATCTATGAGCTGAAGGTGATGGGAACAGAGGGATGAAAAGATTTAGGTCCCTAGTGTAGCACTGCTGAAGAGCTGTGTCAGCTCTGGACTGCCTACCCCCAGACTTCTTATGTGAGACAAACGAATCCCTAATTATTTAAGGCAGAGGTTAATTTTTTGTTGGTGGTGGTTATTTATACCCTAAAGCTTTGCAGGGAAAATTGAAAAAGAATCAATTTCGTAGACCCGTGTCTGACCCAGTGGACATTCATGGGTTCGTCCCCCTTCTCCAGCTATGAGACGTTTTCACATTTGTAAAGTGAGGCCCTTCTAAATCCAATATCCTATACTTACCTGATTATAAGGTAGAAGACTTGATCTCTGGCTTCTGGAATAAAGGGCCCTTTCCTGGGGTGGGGGGGAGGGTTTGAGCAGTCACCCCGCTGTGTGGCTAAGCACAGGTACAAGTGTGGACCACCTGTGGCACCCCAACCCTACAGAGGCCGCCGCACCCCAATCAAGCAGATGCAAACAATCTCCATGAACTTGTGCGGGGCGGAGCGTGCATGGTATGTGCCCAAAGACATGAAGCCACCCTTGCTCGGATATAAGTATGGAAGGCAATTCTAGGGATCATACCCCCGGTGACACACACATCCGAGAGGAAGAATGAAAACGTATTAACCTGAATCCCTGCTCCCCCAACACAGAGTACATTGGGTAGCATTGGCTCTGGTCGGGAAACCCAGGTACCTGGGTATGAGTGTGGACACCTGCTTGGTTTTCATTCCCATTCTTACCTGCCCACGGCATGGCCTCTATGGGACCAGGCTCCTGCTTTTAGGACCCATGGCAACGCACGTGACTCACCAAACAAAGCCAGCTGCCCCCTCTGCCAACTGAATCCTGCGGGTCCCCACTGTCTGAGCACTCCAGCCATGGCTGAAATCAACAGTACCAGAGTCAGTACCATCAAGCTCTTGCAAACCTTAGACGCCAAAGCATGGTGAATACAAAGGGCACTTTTTTCTTTTTAAGCAAATGTATTCTTCTTCCATTATTTAAAAAAGATTGAACAGCAAAAAGTTAAATCTCCTTTTACCGTAAAAGTAAAGAAAATCATGCAATGAGATGATCCCTGGGGTGGGGGTGTGGGGGGATTCTGCACAAACTTTCTCTCTCTCCAGACTCCCCTGCAGCCCCCGGGCAGGACGCAGGGTTTGTCCTCAGCAGGTGAGTTCCTGTCCAGCCCCTTGGGCGCCTTCCTGGGTCAGCGCATCTTGACCTTCTCTCTGCCCTTCTACTCTGAGTACTCCTCCCTCATGGCCTTCACCAGCCAGTCCCGCTCCGTCCCCTGCTCAGAGTCGCTCGTGTCACTGGCCTCCATGACCAGCAGTTTCGAGTAGTTGATTTTCTGCTCTTGGGGCAGTCTGGGCTGGATGGACAGGAACAGGGCCAGCCAGAGCACCAGGACCACGCAGCAGGCCTGATACAGCACAGCCAGGCTGAAGGACGACGCCACGAAGCCCCCCACAACGCTGCCCAGGCTGGACCCTCCCCCATAAATGTGGCCTCGGAACATGGCACCCAGAGGTCTCTCGGTCCCGGGAGTGGCCAGGTCCTCGACGGAGGCCTTCACGGCCCACCACAGGGCCCCATTGCTGATGGCACTCAAGATCTGAGCGGGGAGGACCGACCACCAGCTCCAGAGGAAGGAGTAATAAAGCAGCTGGGCTGCCAGGCAGCCCAGCCCCAGCCCCACCGTGCCCACCCTCGACAGTTTCCTCAGCAGCGTCGCTTTGAACGGATGGAGTAGAATTTCCCCCAGCAAGCCCAGGGCCACCGAGAAACCCATGACCAGCTCGCTGCTCCCGTGGTCTTCCATGTACCAGAACAGAAAGTTCTGCACGGTGCTGGTGGCCGCGCCTATCAGAAACACGGTGAGGGCTAGGAGAATGAGCCGGGGGTCGCCGCCCACCAGGGACAGCGCTTTGCCCATTTTGCAGCTGGGCTCCCGCCGCCTGCAGATGGGGACGGGAAAGACAATGCTCACCAGTAAAGCCAGGGTGCTGACCAGCGAGTAGCCATAGAAATGCAACACACCCCGGGGGCCATTTGTCATCAGGACGCACTCCAGCTGCCCCACTAGGGCCGAGATGCCACACACACCTGCCGACATGCCCAACAGCCTCCAGATCCACAGGCTTCTGTAGCGGTCCGTGGCGTCCACAAAATCCAGGTATTCATAAAGGCTGTCGTCGGCCACCTGCTCCAGAGGGGCTGTCAGCAGCTCCCAGAACACCAGGGACCCCAGGGAGAGGAGGAAAGTCCAGCGCAAGCCTTCCAGGGAGAGGCCAAGGGTCCGGGCATTCCCCTGGGCTGCCGATAAGTTGGCCGGACTTCCCGGGGCTGTACCCCCAGCAAGCAAAGGGAGGGCCGTCCAGCCCGCCTTCAAAGCACCTTCCCCGGGAGTATCCCTCACCCCTGAAGTGTCCGCATGGAGCACTGGGGACGTGGTCCTGGCTCCCTCCACGGGGCGCACGGCGTAGCCAGGCGGCCGGCCGGAGGGTTGGTGGCCGCTTCCCGCAGGTGCCGTTCTGAGGCCCGCGGCGTCCGGCGTCCCAGTCCTGCTCCCGCCTGGGGGGCTGGGCGCCCCCGCCGCGGGGCGCGAGGCGGGCAGTGGGGCCGAGGCGACGGTCACAGTTCGTGCGGCCGCCGGTGGCAGGGCCGTGGGGGCGGCGCGGCCGCTGGCGTTACAGGACAGGTCCGCCGGACCTGTGGCCGGCGGCGGCACCAGGACCATCAACAGGCTGGCTCCCACCGAGCCGAGCAGCGAGCCCATCAGAAGCACCCTCCTTCTGCGGTAGCTTTTGGCCAGGAGGGCACAGAAGGGAGCCCAGAGGGCCGCGATCAGGTGCTTGGTCGCCATCAGGATGCCCACCCAGGGCGCGGCCAAGCCCAGCCGCCGCAGGTAGAGAGCCAGGAAGGGAGTCACGCAGGCGTCCCGGGCCCCGCACACCAGGTGGAAGAGCCTGGCCACCCGCAGCGCCCTGCTGACGTCCCACTGGGGGTTGGCGCTCATGGCGGCCCGGCTCCGTCAGCCCCGGGCGCGCGGGGGGCCGAGCTGGGCGCGGGGCGGGCGCGGGGCATGGCCCGGGAGCCGGGGGCGCGGGAGTCGCCTCGGGCCTGGGCGGCGCCGCGGTCACCCGGTCAACGGCCGCGCCCCCCGCCCCGCCCCCGCCCCGCCCCCGCCTACACCCCCACCCCCGCCCCACCCCCCGCCACGTACGGCAGCCCGCCCGGAATTGGCCCCGCCCCCGGGACGCCGCACCTGGGGGGCGTGGCCGGCGCACCTGCCGGCCGCACCTGCGGGGCCCCGGCCGTGCGCGCGTGCGCGGGGGTGGGGCCTGGGGCCTGCGGGGCGCGCTGCGAGCTGGGCGCAGGGTCGCCCGCGAACCTGAGTTAGCGCCCCGAGTCGCCTCAGGCAAGGACGTCGGTGGGCGGTGGGGGCCGCGGGAATGGAATTCGTGATGGGGGCTCCCTCCCTCATCTTCCTCAGGTCTTGACGCCCCCTCCCCCGGCAATGACCGCCCTGTGACCTTCAGGGACCGTCCCTGTCCACCGTCGCCGACAAATCCCACCCCGTCCCCTGCCTTATTTGTCTCCGTGGCACGCATCACCGCCCAGCACCCCACGGGTTTCTGTTGCGCGTGTTTATCTTGTTTCTTGTCTGTCTCCATCAGAATCAGAACTCCAGGAAGGCGGCTGTTTTTGTCCCCGGGGCATTGAGCTGTTGCACTGGATACCAGGTGCCCCCGGAAGAGGCGCTATGGGTGACAGTTTTCTTTTCTTTTCTTTTTTTAAAGATTTTATTTATTTGACAGAGAGAGACACAGCGAGAGAGGGAACACAAGCAGGGGGAGTGGGAGAGGGAGAAGCAGGCCTCCCGCCGAGCAGGGAGCCCGACGTGGGGCTCGATCCCAGGACTCTGGGATCATGACCTGAGCCGAAGGCAGATGCTTAATGACTGAGCCACCCAGGCGCCCCTGGGTGACAGCTTTCTTGAGCGGAGCGATCCCCAGAGGGCGGACAGCTGAGGGCTGCCTTGGGGTGGCACTCTGCACCCCATCCAGACAGCCGTCCCAGCCCCTCTAACAGTGTGTGTGTATCAGAGAGTTTTAATCTACACCGAAGGGTGCTCCGTGGTCCAGTTCGGGGGTACAGCCTCCAGAGGCAGTTAGCTAACATTTAATCCAAAAGCTGCGCTCCGGAAGCAGCGAATACCAACACGTCAGCAGTCTTAGATCAACCGAAGGGGTTTCACGAATTAGCCTGATAGATACTGGTGAAATTTCACTGCTGATATTAGTGGATTGGTCATAGTTTTCTTGGAGGCGTTTGCTCCTTGGGCAAGCATTTATAGGAATCTGGAGATCCCAAGTGGTCCAGCCCTTTGAAATGGTGTCATAGGCTTTACTCCCAAATGGTCCAACGTCCAGCCACCGATTCCGTGAAATTTTCGTGCAAGGTGTGCTCAGAGCACCTAGTTTGGCTGGCGGGTGGGGTTGAGGGGGATGGCGGCTTGCCAACACCCGTCTGAATGTGTAGCAAAATTTGGTCTGCAACATGCTTTCCATGGTGAGCTGGTAGAGAGATTACTGCTGGGGAGCCCAGAGATCTCACCTAATTCTTTTTTTTTTTTTTAAGATTTATTTATTTATTTGAGACAGAGAGAATGAGAGAGACAGAGAGCACATGAGAGGGGGGAGGGTTAGAGGGAGAAGCAGGCTCCTTGCTGAGCAGGGAGCCCGATGCGGGACTCGATCCCGGGACTCCAGGATCATGACCTGAGCCGAAGGCAGTCGCTTAACCAACTGAGCCACCCAGGCGCCCTCACCTAATTCTAACAACTGGTAAACTCTGCAAATGTTTACTGAAAGAATCTAGTCACTGTGTGAATGCCAAAATCGATAGGAATCAGTGTATATCACGCCAAGAGCAGAGAAATAATATTTAGCCACCTCCAGGTGAACTCACTCAAATTCAGTGATATCAGTCATTTCCGGTTTAAAACCACTCAGGCTCACTGGGGACTGTCCCTAATCCCTCTCTCCCTGGGTTCTGTTTTGGGAGGGGACAGCTTCAGTGGAGGATCTCACATCCATCCACTCCTCCGTCTTCACTCTGTCCAGGGCTGATGTCCACTGAGGGGCAGGCACACTGCCATACTGGTGTCCCTTGGACCCCTCTGCCTAGACCCCCAGGAGGCCCCTCTCACAGGGAGTCTTCCAGACTTGTCCCCACTCCCCGGGCAATGAGGCCGGAAGTAAAGCATCTACCTCTGTACTCTTGGATCCCCGAACCTGAAAGGGATTCTTCCACACCCTCCTCCCACTCTCCCCTGGGACCCTGCCCTCTCCACTTTCCCTCCTGCCCCCCACCTAGTCCTGGCGGTGAGGATAGAAGTTCTGTGTCCCTGATCTTCCCTATTTTGCATCTGGATATAAGTTTTGGAACTCAAAAGCCAAGAATTTTCATGTCTTTACTATCTGGCTCCTTTGAAATGACTTTGCATCCCCATCTCTGTTCTGGGACGGTGCTGGTCAGAAGTCCCTAAGTCCACGTGAACGGGGAGAGGGGTGGGCGCCAGAGAGAACACACCAATAATACTCCACAGAACTCCCAACTGGCCTAAGAGGACTCATGAGGTCAGATCACGTATGGCCCTGGATCTCTATTAAAATCCGAATGTCACTAGGTATTAGATAAAAGCAAAAGGGCTTTAGTGTGCCTTTATTGAATCTGACATTTTCCTCTCCTCCAGGAGAGACACCTGCCTGGGCACGCAGGGTGTGGGTGGTGGCTGGAGGGAGGAAAGGAACAGACTCAGGAGAGAGGAGGTGCCTTTGCCCTGCTTCCCATTTCCCCCAGGCCACGGGGCCTGGACAAAACAGCAGCTCTCACTTGGGTTTTAAGGGGCGAGGGGGGAGCTTGAGTGGGAGAGGTGGGGACTAAAAATAAACAAAGGCGTATGGACATTTGTGCTCAGAGCTGGGTCTTGCTTGTGTGTGTGCAGCTTTGCTGGGACCATCTTTGGGCCTGGGTGTGGGCCCTGCACCATCACCTGCCACGGCCGAGCTCCCTGTGCTCTGGTCACTCGCTGGCTCCTACTCACAGCCAGAAGCCACCCAGGACAGCCAGGCCTTGTCCCGGCTGCTGGTGTGAGGGTTTGGAGGCCGGCGGGGTAGTATATCCTTCCTCTTGGTCTGGGGCTCTCAGAGTCAGCACTTCTGCCGCCCCTTCAGGCTCACTGGACGATGCCGGAGAACGTGTTGATGGGCATCAGAAGGGGCTTGGGCTTGGCTTTGGTCCCTTTCACCTCCGGCTGGGGTGAACCGAGCCACGGCGCCTTGGACTTGTGTGTCCCGGAACACGGCTCTGGGCAGGGAGCAACCTCGAACCTGTGGGTGCAGAGAGGCTGGCTCAGGAGACCCATCTCTGGGGTCAGATCGGCTGGGGCATTGTGAAGACATCCCCTCTATTACAGGGTATACGGGAGGAGGCCTTGCAGACTGAGGAGGGGGAGTCGGGGCAAGGAAAGAGCACCCAGGCCAGGGGTGGACCCCGGGAGAGGAGGTTTGCCTGCGTGGGTCCCTCTGTGTACACCCCGTCCATACCCAACTACTCTGCCCCGGGGGAAATAGCTAGGGGGTTGCATTAACAACTGCCACAGAAAGCCAGCCTGTGTGGGAGGGATCAGTGCCCACACGGGGGTTGCATCTGTGGCTACGGCCGCAGGCTGAGCGGATGCAGAGGAAATCTCCAGAAACATTGGTATCCTCGGCTGCCCCATTCATTTGCTCTTCTTCCTGGATTCCCAGGAAGTCACCGGGCAGTGGCCTCAGTCCACGCCAGCAGGTGGACCCCACCTGCCCGGCCCCAGGCTCTGCCTCCGACAGGTGTCCTGGGCTAGAGGCAGGAGGTGGTAGGGGATCGCTCCGTGGGGCACGGAGGGGTGGCGAGGCACGGCCTCACCTGACCACATCCCTGTACGTGCGCCGACTGTCCTTGTCCAGCAGCAGCGTGAGGAGCCTCTGGTCCTGGCTCTGGATCTGGATGGTGGCCGTCCGGAAGGTGTTCGTCACCGTCTACAACAGAGAGACAGCTCGTGTGCGTGTCACCTTCACGACCTTCACCTTGCCAACACCTCCTGCCCTCTGCGGTGTATTTCCACAGACTAGCCCACGGGGTCCCCAGCTCTCTTCCTGCAAGTGACTTGGAGCATTGACAAGTCTGCAGAAACTGCATCTGGGCTCCCCCCGGCCCTTGGGTCTCTCATTTCTGCAAGTCTTCTCCCAATCTGTTGTCCTAAATTTCAAACCACCACGAATGCCGTGGCTGGTGCTTGCCAGGTTATCCAGGTGCCTCAGCACCCCCACATCCCAGGTGAATATATCACAAGTGCAATGTTGGGGGGGGCAGTATTTCAGGGGTTCTATGAGTCCTGACTGCCGATCTCAGAATTGGATTACATGCAAAATTATTTCCCTGGGAAGCAGCCACCTAGTCTCATGATGCAGACCGGGCCTGTATCTGTTTGTATCGTGGAATCATCTAGGGGTCAGATACACGTGGGGCAGTCAGATGGCCTTTCCAGGTGGCCGGCGCCCCCTACGTGCAGACAGCAGCTTTGGTGGTTCATCCCCACAACGTTCTGAGCCTTTAGGATTCATATTCATTCAAGAATTCGCAAGTCCTGGCTGCTCATGAGCATCACCTTTCCAAGATATAAAATTAGAGATTCTGATTTAAGTGGTCTGGAGTCGAGCCCAGGCAAGGAATTTTTTTTTTTTAAAGATTTATTTATTTATTTGAGAGAGAGAGAGAGAGAAGAGGGGGAGGGCCAGAGGGAGAGAATCTCAAGCAGACTCCCCACTGAGTGTGGAGCCTGATGCGGGGGGTTCGATCCCACAACCCTGAGATCATGACCCTGAGATCATGACCTGAGCTGAAATCAAGAGTCGGATGCTTAACCAACTGAGCCACCCAGGAGCCCTACAGACAGACTGCCTGGGTTCTGGTCTCAACTCTACCACTTATTAGCTGTGTGACCTTGGACGTATTTCTTAATCTCTCTGTGCTTTTATTTCTCACCTACTGAGAAAACAAAACCAAAACGTGGTAGTAATAGCAATTACCTTGTAGGATTGTTTTGTGAAGATTAAAAGGGAGAGAATATACCACGTGCCCGAGACACGGTAAGCCCTGTATTTCTGTTGACCCGTTGTTACTCTCCTTAATTATAGTTGTGCAAGAAGGAGCCAAGCATGAGTAGCGGCTTCAGTTGTCAGAGGGGATGGGGACCCCACTGTGGGTTCTTTTGCTGCTCCATCTGTCTCCTAGCCCAAGCCCCCTCCTGCCATCCCTCCATCTATAGACTCCTATGAGTCAGAACAGGTGGGTTTGAGCAAAGGCAGAAAGCCTTAAGCCTTGCTGGGACAGAGAGTGACACAAAGGGAAAGGAGACTTCTCCCCTGTTGTGCATCAGGACCCACGGCAGCATCGGGGCCTGGGGCCCTCAGCTATGGTGGGCAGTTGTGGTCCATGACCTTCCAGAAGTACCTGGAGAGACTGCAGGGAGGCTGGAGTCCTATGCGGGCTGGGGAGTGGGGAAAGCCAGATGCATTATGATAGCTTAGGGGGCCCCACCTGAACTGACCCCCGCTGTGAGGGAAACTCCGGGTTCCCACAGAGGACAAGACCAAGGTCCGGAGGTATTGACTGTGATCTTCTAAAGCTTTCACAGTAGTAGGTGTGGGATGTTTCTCCCTGACTCCAGACACAGTGCTCTTTCTCTGCATCAGGCCGCTCTAGGTAACTCCCAGCAGGATCTGGGCTCCCATGACCCTGCCCTCCCGGTAGCCAGAAGCAGTCTAAAGGCCTCCTTCCACGTGCTTGCTGTGTAGACAGATGCCTTCATTTCCCCTTTGTGGCCTGCATGCCTGGACACATGCAGACCTGCCTGGCTTTGGCCCCGTGGGGGACCACAGGACTCTGGGATTTCACTCTGTAAGTGCAGCCGTGGAGGTCAGTTGAAAGAGATCCACCTTGGGGCTTGAGGCTCGTGCACAGAGCTGTCCAATAGGAAGGCAGATTTCAGCTGGGGGGGGGTGGAGACCTCTCAGCCAATCAGAGCTCTCCTACAGTGGATGGGCTGTCCCAGAAATAGTGCACTATTTAGGGGTGAGGTGTGTGGGGGGAGGGATGGGAGCCACACTATGCAAAACTAGAGGGTTTTTCTGCCCTTCTGCCGTGGAGAATGGGAAATGACAGAGGGTTTTTAGAAAGAGCACTCGGGCAGAGATGTGGTGGGTGGACCTAAGGGGCATTGCAGTGGCATAAGGGGGACCAGCTAGGAGGCTACAGCATTTGTCCAGGAAAAGGGGATGATGAAAGTCTGCAGCAAGGGTGACCAACCCGTCCTGATTTGCCTGGGACCGTCCAGGCTTTAGCACAGAATGTCCCATGCCCCGGGAAGCAGTCCTCGGTCCTGGGCAAATTGCGGTGGTTTGTCAACCTAGGTGACTCAGAAGGAGGGAGATGGGGGAAAGGGCGAGGTTCGAGAAGTGTTGAGAGAGATAAGCAGCAGGGCACAGGGAGGGGAGGAAGAGGAGGAATCTGAGGGGACTCCCAGTATCCTGGCAGAGGTGACTGGGTAATGATGATACCATTAAGTGAGAGGTCAGCCACAGTGGTGAGAGAATGAATTAAAAATCACTGTTAGCACATGCATAGCTTTTACTTGGCCACACACTCTTCTGAGAGCTCTGCATGTGACCATCATTTCATCCCCGCAACAACTGGGTAAATTCAGTGCTATCACTATCATCCCCATTTACAGATGATGAGACTGAGGCACAGGCAGCTTGATTAACTCGCCTGAAGTCACACAGCTGGTAAATGGCAGAGCTGAGCTCCGAAACCCAGGCCGTCTCAGTCTGGTTCTAGAGAGCTCTTAACTATCCGAAAGTACTGGCTTTGGTTTTGCAGGTCTTGAGTGTGGGGTGTTGTGGGACGTCTGGTTCGCGCGGAGTTGAATGCAGAGTCAGAAACTCGGGGTTTGACTACCAGAGCCGGGGATAGAGATTTGGGTGCCCTGAGCACATCGGACTCAAACCACGTATGTGGGTTAGGTAGTCCAGGGAATGAGAAAAGAAGTGAGCTGTGGATGAAAGTTGAGAACACTAGCTATTTAAGGAACGGGTTTAGGAAAAAGAGCCCCGGGAAAGAGGCCAAAAAGTCACAATTCAGATATGTAGAACTTTGAGGAAAAGAGGGAAGAGGAAGGAAATTATTTTATTTTATTTTATTTTTTTTAAGATTTTATTTATTATTTGACAGAGAGAGAATGACAGAGAGAGCACATGAGAGGGGGGAGGGTCAGAGGGAGAAGCAGACTCCCCGCCGAGCAGGGAGCCCGATGCGGGACTCGATCCCGGGACTCCAGGATCATGACCCGAGCCGAAGGCAGTCGCCCAACCGACTGAGCCGCCCAGGCGCCCTGAAGGAAATAATTTTTAAAACTACATTAGGAAATATGTTAGAGCCAAAAGATGGGAGTCTCCAGATTGATAATGCCCTTTAAAGATCCACAATAATGAATGAAAAAGATTCCACCAAGGCATGTGCTTGTGATGTTCCAGAACCTTCTATGAAGTGAAGCATCAGAAGCTTCTAGAAAGGGAGAGAAAGGAACAGTCTTATACAAAGGCTGGCCAGAAGGAGGCATCCTATTCCAAAGCAGCAGTATCAGAAACTAGAACACTCAGGTTTGAACAAACTGAGATCAAACTGACAAAATCAAAGCCATACTGGGAATGTGGACAAACCTTTCTTGTTTTGGATAGATGAAGCAGACCAACATTTCTACATGGCAGATTTGAGTAGTATGATGTGTTTGACCTAATAATTAAGTACCTTAGTTTGTATTCTGTAGACAGAAAACACACATGTCCTCTTTAGTTATCACAGGATATTTAAAAATCGATCATATAGGGCGCCTGGGTGGCTCAGTTGGTTAAGCGACTGCCTTTGGCTCAGGTCATGATCCTGGAGTCCCGGGATCGAGTCCCGCATCGGGCTCCCTGCTCAGCAAGGAGCCTGCTTCTCCCTCTGACCCTCCCCCCTCTCATGTGCTCTCTGTCTCTCTCATTCTCTCTGTCTCAGATAAATAAATAAAATCTTTAAAAAAAAATCGATCATATATGGGGCAGTGAAGACAATGCCACATAAATTCTAAAGTTGAAGTTGTGTGGGTCACATGCTTTGTCGTCCCAGGGTCATTCGGTGATGTCAGGAATCAAGGGGCTTGGGTTTCAACAGCCATGGGGACCAGGGGACAGGCCCAAGGGATTGGAAACTGAGATTGCCTTCAAGGACCCTTGAAGGCCATGCTCTTAGCAAAAGACTCGATTAGAAAAACAGCAGCTGTGCTATGGGATGAGGAGAACGAGTCTCCCCTGGGAATTCCAAGCCACGTCTGCCCTTAGGGGGATCTGGGGTATACATGTTCACTGTTTGCATGGTCTGGGAATTTCTGAGCCTAGAAATTAACTCCAAATATGGTCCTGGGCTGATGATATCCCGGGGGCCCGTGGCAAAGGCAGATACAGAATTCTCTAGAAGGTCAAGGTTTCGACCCAGTTTTCCCACAGAGAAAACCCCAACAGGTAGGAGCTCCCAGTTGAGGAGACATACAAGGAAGTAAGCATCCATGTGTCTATAGCTATCTATTATGTACAGATATGCAAAAAAGAGGCTGGATGTTTGCACCTTGGAATAGTAACAGTCATCCTCTCTAGAAAATGGGACTCGAAGTGGTTTTACCTCTTTGTGCTTTTTAAAAAAATTTTTTTGCATTTCTCCCATATCACTAAACTTTTGTTTATAGGTTAAAACATTATTGGGGCGCCTGGGTGGCTCAGTCCTTAGGCGTCTGCCTTCAGCTCGGGTCATGATCCCAGGGTCCTGGGGTCGAGCCCCACATCGGGTTCCCTGCTCTGCGGGGAGCCTGCTTCTCCCTCTCCCACTCTCCCTGCTTGTTGTCTCTGTCAGATGAATAAATAAAATCTTTTTAAAAAACAAACATCATTTTTAAAGGGGAAGAAAAAGAAACATTAAGGACTCGAAGGTGAACTTTGGTCTTAGTGGCACGGAGGTGGCTTTACCAAGGTGGGGTGGGCTGTATGCAGATGGCAGTGGGGAGGAGAGTCTTTGGCAAGGGACTGGAAACTCCTGTGGGGGTATCTCTCAAGACCCCTGACCAGGAAGAGAAGGAGTACAGTGGTAGCTAGAGAGGTAAGCGGATCATGGTAGAGATTTTCCTTCTAGGATGGAAAAGACCCGAGCACATTTCCAGGCTACGAGGGAGGAGCGGTAGAGAGGGTCCACGCTGGAGAAAAGGAACTAACATAGATGAACAAGAGCCCAGAAGAGGAGCAAGAGAAGAGGGTTGAGTGATGCCAAGGGTCCTGTTAAGGTGGGAGGTCGGGTGTTTGCTCCCATGGATGTAGAATTTATTCCAGAAGAAGCCACTGGAGTCAGACTGAGTAGGTGGCTTGATCCCAAGACAGTGTCTGCCTGGTCGGTGGTGTGGGGGAGTGGAGGGCGTCTGGAATAGGGTTCAGGTATAATCATGGGATTCACAGCCCGCTGAGTAGGGAAGTGAAGTCCAGAGAGGCCATCAGATAGGGAGCATATGGGCAGGTCCTAGGTCTGTATCAATAAGGGAATCCAAATCAATAAGTATCAATAAGGGCAAAGGGCAGCGAGGTTAAAAGAGCTGGTTCGATTTGGTCCAAGGTTTGTTGCGTAGGAGTCTGACTGCTGGGGAAGCCAGAATGTGCACGCAGTTTCTATTTGGGGGCATGTTCTAGGTCCTTGGAGGGCCAGCAGGTGGAGGGCAAGGCCTTAAGTCTCACTGTGTCTTACTTACGCTCAGCACCTCACAGATGGGGGGAAAGCAGATTCTTTCCAATAGGAAGACCCACTTCGACAGCAAAGGCTCAGAAGACATTTCCCCTTCTCTGAACACCCCCAGCCCAGGCTCCCATCCACCTGCCCTGTCAGAGCATCCCATTCAAACCAGTACTTACAGAGAAGGACCTGCCCGCCAAGTTGGAGGACTTGACCACCTCCATCACGCTGACATTCAGGCACCTGAGGTCTATGACTGGAGCAGCAGATGGGAGGGCGTGGGTGGGCCCCGAACCTGGGAGGAAGGAGGTGGGACATGACCTTGGGTGGGTCATTTTTCTGGCTTCATTACCTCTCCAGTAAAAAGCTGCTAACAGTAATAATGCCTGTCTCACAGGATTCAAAGCGTTGACGTGTTTGACGTTGAACATGGCCTCGCCTCTGATGAAGGTGTTCGGTGACGTTAATCCACCTTACAAAACTTTTCGTCATTTCAGAAGACCAGGGGGCTAACGGGAGAGCTCATATGTATAATTTACGATATGCATATAAATCGGTATCTTTTTTCATCCCCATTTTAGATTTAGGTAGTTAGGTAATTAGATCGACTATCTGATTATCTACTGTATAGCTCTAATTAGGCAACTGGCCAGAATTAGCTAATTTGGACCAGTGGCGCCTTTTGCGAACTGGAGAGTACCTGCCCCGTGGAACGACATTCAACATCTCCAGACCCAACACAACTAGTTCTGCGGGCCCGACGCAGAAGCAGGAGGGCAAATGCACCTGCCTCCATGGGGTGCCTCCGACTTCTAGCTGTTGTCTCATCAGGTCTACAGGGCACAGCCAGAGGCCACGGCTACGGTGCGTTCCCCGCTGGTGAGCACCCTGATGGTGGGGACCACGCCTCACCCAGGTATCCAGCGCCCGGCCCTGGGCCCAGCACTGGTAGGGACTCAGCCTCGTTCTAGGATCCCAGGGACAGGTGGGAGGCCCGACTCCCCTGGCTCTCCCCGTCTACTGTCACTCGACTGTCATTCTCCTTCTCCCCCGTCCTCCCCGCTTCTCGTGCCTTCTCTCTGTGTCTCTCTCTCTGCTGTCCCCACTCCTCACCCTCAGTGTCACTGGCTGGAAGGGCCTTCAGGACCAGCCCAGTGGCCCGCAGGGAACTGGAGACCTCTTGGGCGCGGTGGCTGAGCAGGGCCTGGGGAGGGGGAGGCAGGAACAGATGGGGGTCCTCAGAAGAGCCCTGTTCCTGGGCATCCTCATGTCAACAGTCCTGCTTCCCGCCCCTGGCCTGACTGAGATTCTTGTCTGTGTCGCTCCTGTCCAACAAGGGGCTGGTGGAGAAAGGCCTAGAGCACTCTTGGCCCCGGGGACCACGTTCAGCCTCCCGGACCCAAGGGAATGTGTCTCTGATGCCATCAGTTCAAGCATCCGGTCGGCCAGGGAGGAAGGTATTTTTGAGCGATGGGACAGCCCCCTTGTTCCTTAAATCAGAGGGCCTCCTGGGCTGCACACAAGGCCAATTGTAATGCACCCATCCCTGCAAAACTCTCCAGAGGCTGGGAGAAGTCCGGGGACAGGCTGAAGGTTCTGGCTCGATCTGCTCCCCACCTGCCCGTCCCTGACACCTGCTTCCATCCTGCCGTACCCACCCCCCAACCTCCTCTGACCACGCCCACGGCCACGCACCTTCTGGTAGCAGATGGACAGCTCGGCCCCTGGGCCCTCGGCCGCGCCCTTCCTCCTGGGTGAAAAGCCATCTGAGGGGCAAGGGGAGAAGAGGCTGAGGGTGGGAGGCTCCCACCCGTCCCGTCTTGCTCCCACCTCACCCAGGGCGAGCTAAGCTCCTGAATTTTGACAGCACCTCTCCCTGGATGGAAGGAAGCCCCTCGAGGGTTCCAGTCTAGGCAGGCTTGGAGGAGCCAAGGGCATCCTGGTATTCAGCGAAGGTGAGAGCTGGGAGGACTTTCTGGAAACAGGGCTTGGGCGGGGGCAAGCGGAGTCAGCCAGCTCCCGGAAAGGGGAAACAAATGCTTACCTTTGGGGGATTTGGAGTCTTGGATCTTCACCTTCAGCTCGGTGAGGAAAATGTCCTCTGCGGGGTCTTGGCTCAGGTCCCTGAAGATCTGGAGGGAAGGGGGACAGGGAGGAGGTTTGGAGGAGGCCAGCTCACCCTCCTCCCCCAGAACCCGAGGGTGTAGATAGTTGAATAGTGTCCGGAAGCAGGGCGGAGGGTCCCCCATCATCCTGCTAGCGCTAGATTCTGAGCCGCATCCAGTGACTTCCTGCACCTGTGGTCCACGTGTCTCCAGCCACATAACATATTTATAAATCAGGGAAGAAGCTGGTCTTGAAACCCTAACTACCTGTAACCAGTGTGGTCTAATGGGGAGGGCAGGAGCGGGGAACAGAATTCTCACGTTGTGGGGCTGTGTCCGGTGAGGGGAACCACATTCCTGACTTGCACTGTGAGCTGGGCAGGGAGGGAAGGGCTAGAGGGAGCTGAGCCGCTCAGGGGTGGGGGGGGTGGGGGGGCCAGAAATGTGGGGCTGGAGGGGCCTCTGAAGGGAGCCAGGCAGCGCAGCGGGGAAAGGTGGCCACAGGATTTTTGAGAGCGGGGATCCCGAAAGAAAAGAGGCTACCGAGAGTGGTCCGTGAGCTGGGCAAGCACTCCCAGCGAGGCCTCGCGCTCCCATTGACCGTCAAGGACTTCACAGACGCCAGCATCCTTAGGGGAGGCCGCTCTGTGACCCTGATGGGTCAAGACTGACACCAGGCCCTGCCACAGTCGCAAACACGGGAAAAAAACGGGAACGCTGTGCGGGCCGCATCCCCCTACCCTCCCATCGAGGCAAACGTGAGGGGGACTGCTGCCTCTCAGAATCAAAGTGATCGATCACTCTGAATTAAGAACGCCCGAGATGCCAGTCACAGAACCACTCCCGGCGGTTGCCCACGCTGTGCACTGCTCCTCCCTTGTCCGCAAACCCAGCTCCGTGCTGGGGCAGGTGCGCTCCTGGGGCCTCCGGCTGAAGGCGTTAACCGTGGACGGATGCCTAACCTTTCCTTTTATTTGCGGTGCTGAGATGTTTACTCCCTTTACCTGCGTGAGAGGTTTCTCCCAATTGTCCCACTTTGTGTTGTTTGATTTTGTCTTCTGGAAACCCAAGAAAGGGCCTAAATCCCTCAATTAGGTCTGAAAGGGGGAAGGTGATAAAGATCCATCTCGGGATGCCAGGGGAAGAAGGAGAATTCAGAAGGGGAAGTCAGGAAGGCAGAGGCGGCTGCCAGAAATCTCTGGGGGATGGGGCGGTGCAGGGCCTTCCTCTGAACATGGAATTGGACAGCCACATGCAAAAGAATGAAACTCGGCCATTCTCTTACACCATACACAAAGATAAACTCTAAATGGATGAAAGACCTCAATGTGAGACAGAAATGCATCAAAATCCCAGAGGAGAACATAGGCAGTAACCTCTTTGACATTGGCCACAGCAACTTCTTCCAAGACACATCTCCAAAGACAAGGGAAACAAAAGTGAAAATGAACTTTTGGGACTTCATCGAGATAAAAAGCTTCTGCACAGCAAAGGAAACAATCAATAAAACAAAGAGGCAACCCACGGAATGGGAGAAGATATTTGCAAATGACACTACAGATAAAGGGCTGGTATCCAAGATCTATAAAGAACTTCTCAAACTCAACACCCAGAAAACAAATAATCAAGTCAAAAAAATGGGCAGAAGACATGAACAGACACTTCTCCAAAGAAGACATACAGCGGCTAACAGACACATGAAAAAATGTTCAACATCATTAGCCATCAGGGAAATTCAAATCAAAACTACACTGAGATATCACCTTACACCAGTTAGAATGGCAAAAATTGACAAGACAAGAAACAACAAATGTTGGAGAGGTTGCGGAAAAAGGGGAACCCTCCTACACTGTTGATGGGAATGCAAGTTGGTACAGCCACTCTGGAAACGGTGTGGAGATGCCTCAAGAAGTTAAAAATAGAGCTACCCTATGACCCAGCAATTGCACTCCTGGGTATTTATCCCAAGACACAGATGTAGTGAAAAGAAGGGCCATATGCACCCCAAAGTTCATAGCAGCAATGTCCGCAATAGCCAAACTCTGGAAGGAGCTGAGACGCCCTTCAACAGACGAATGGATAAAGAAGATGTGGTCCATATATACAATGGAATATGACTCAGCCATCAGAAAGGATGAATACCCAACTTTTACATCAACATGGATGGAACTGGAGGGGATTATGCTAAGTGAAATAAGTCAAGCAGAGAAAGTCAATTATCATATGGTTTCACTTATTTGTGGAACATAAGGAATAGCATGGAGGGCATCAGGAGAAGGAACGGAAAAATGAAGGGGGGGAAATCAGAGTGGGAGAAGAACCATGAAAGACTATGGACTACGGGAAACAAACTGAGGCTTCTAGAGGGGAGGGGGGTGGGGGGATGGGTTAGCCTGGTGATGGGTATTAAGGAAGGCATGTACTGCAATGAGCACTGGGTGTTATACGCAAACAATGAATCATGGAACACTACATCAAAAACGAATGATATAATGTATGGTGACTAACATAACATAATAAAAAAAAAGAACACAGAATGGGGACTCACAGAAATAGTCATTAGACTTGCACTAGCAGGGAGATCCTAACGGAAGCCCAGGACACGTGCCGACGTCCAGCTCTGTCGCAGACGTTTGCTGGGGGAATGCGGGCCGGATCTTTGGATGAATGAGACCTGGTGCAGGAGGAGGCTCAAGAGTCCCTTTTGTTGGGACCTTACTCTGCACTAGACGTTCTGAGAAAGGCCCTTGACCTACGTGACCTCATTTAACCCCCCAGCAGCACCAGGGGATGGGTCTCATTAGCCTCCATTAGGACCCTGGACACTAAGGCTTGGAGATGTGCGCTGACTTGCCCCAGGTCACAAGCGGCAAAGCTGTGCTGTCATTCAGCATCCCAGCCACTGCTCTGGAATTGCTCTGGAATCATCTGTATGCCTACCTCCTTGCCCTGCATCCCCCCCCCCCATGTCTTTACCATACTGGAAACCTCATGAAACCCCTAAGGCAGGTGAAGATCATCATGCCTCTTTTGCAGGTGCCCATGACTACAGAGCTAGCAAGTGGAGGGACCAGCCAGGCTGTGGACTCTCTACCACCCCACATGGCCCCTGATTCCACACCTGCTGCACCCTGACGGCCTGCCAGTGCCACACGGATTCACTGCCTGCACGCACACACACACACACACACACACGCATCCATGCACGCACACTATTTATTGTGTTAATGGCAGGAGACTCAAAACTCAGATACAGGGGGCGCCTGGCTGGCTCAAGTAGGTAGAGCACACGACTCTTGATCTCCAAGTTGTGGGTTCGAGCCCCATGTTGGGTGTAGAGATTCCTTAAAAATAAAATCTTAAAAAGAATTCGGATTCAAAGTGCAGAACCATCTCTCCAGGGACTCACAGTTTGGGTGGGAAGTGATGCACAGAGCAGGGATGCAACAGAGGTGTAGGGAAAAGCAAGGGCTGTGTCCACAGCACTGTGGACACAGAGGAGAAGCACCTGAGCCTGCTTGCGGGGGCAAGAGGAACAGAGAGGTGAGGACGGGCGAGGAGGCAGGGGAGGTGAGGCGGGGTCAGGAAGGGAAGTCCAGGATGGGGCACAGCGTGAGCAAAGCCTTGGAGGTGGGAGCATCAGGGTGTGTATGGAAAGCAAAGAGAGAATGAAGGGGCTGCTGGGCAAAGAAGCCTCTCTGAAGGTCACAGAGGACGAGTAGCAGGAGAGAAGGTTCCAGAAGTCAGGCGAGGGGCGGACTTCAAGAAGGGGAAATGCGGGCCTTGATTTTTGCTGGTGACACACACATGGATATCACACATTTAATTGTACAGACAAAGGGAAAAAAGTATCGTGGCCCGGGATGTCGAATGCAGAAGAGGGCCCAAAAGAGAGGACAGGAAGCATCCTTTGGGCCTGGCGATTGGAGGTCACTGGCAAGAATGGTGTCAGAAGTGCCAGACTGCCTGGTTGGAGGACAGAGCGAGACAGAAAGAGACGGAGATGGTGGTCGGGCCATCTAACCCCACAGCCCTGGCTTCAGGGCGGACGGACGTGTGGCCCATCTCCTGGGTCATAGTGATCGGCGTACTGATGAGCATTGGCCTCGATCCCGTTGGAAAAGGGACACTCTCTCCCCAACTGGGGTTGCTGAGCTTGAAAAAAATGCTGGCCCAGGACTGCTGCAGGTTATCTTGTCACCAGGACGGGAGACGAAGCAAGGCAGATGCTGTACTGATCACCCTGTTTAAAGCCCCAGACCCAACTTTTCCAAAACCACGTCAACTCTGCCCTTGCCAGCGAGGTGAGCCAAGAGAACTCTTTTCCTGACACCGATTTTTAAGATGTCTGTTACTTGCAACTCCAAGAGTCTTCCCCGACACAAAATGGGAGCCAGGAGGGGCATTTTGCAGGTGAACAGTCCAAGAGGAGTGGAGGGCAGTGAGCATCCTTCCACCCGGTGGGGACTGGGAGGCCTGCCCACTGGAGACCCGTGCTCAGACGCCAAGCCTACGGAGGTTGATGCATCGGGGGCGGGGATGCAGGTGTGTGTCAGTGAGGGATGCTAAGAAAGTGCCAACTGTCAGCAGACGCTGGTGGAACTTAGCACAGAGGGCAGAGACACTTCTCCTCCAAGAGAGCTCCTTTCTGACCAGATCAGCCTACAAGAGCTGGATAGTCTTGGGAACTAGAGGGTTTAAAAACCTGACTTCCCTGCCACCTTTTGAGCCTGGGAACTTGAAAACAAGGTGGGAGATAAGGTTGAGACAAAGTCTGGGAAGAGTCTGACTCTCGGGCTCTCCCTCCCAGGCCCTGTCACTAGGCAACATGCTTAGCAGGAAAATGAATGGAAACCTTGCAGGCTCCAGAGGCTGTTCTGTGCATTTTCGGTGACAAGGACAGCATGGGGGAGGGGAGGGCCCAGGAGAGGGGCTGGCTGAGGGGGAGGTCCAGGAGGAGGTGGGTGAGGACAAGAAGGGCACGGATAACAGGGTTTTGCTGGAGCTGGAGGTGCTCCGCGTCCACTGGAGAGGCGCACGCGAAGGTGTGGATGCATCGATAGGTGTGGACAGCATGCGTGGGGACACCTAATGGTCTCCATTTTCCCCAGAGGTGTGGATGACAAAGTCACTTGCTGAAAGTGAAGGACAGGAGAAAAGCAGGGAAGGGGGAGCTTGCCAAGAAGGCGGTGTAGGCCCAGCTGAGGCTGGACACCACGGAAGTGTCTGTGTCCAGCCAGAGGGCTTCGGAATGTTTTCCAGATGGTGCTCAGGAGCCCGAGCTTAGTGAAAGGTAAGGCACACTGCAGCGCTGCTCTGGGCTCGGGAGACAGCAGGGCAGGGAGGCCGGGGTTGGGAAAGGAAACCACAGCAAGGGGCCAATGGACATGAGAAAGTAGAAGGACCTGCCCATCTCTCTAAGGAGGCAGGTCCTGGAGGAGAAGGTGAGAGGTTCTTGCAGGGATGGGAGTTTGTGATCAGAGACTAGAAAGTGAGCATCTAAGAATTCTGAGGTAAAGCAATTCCTGGTGATAATTTTCACAACTGCCTGTCCCCCATCCTCTACAGGGTCAAAGCCTAAGGCATCCCTCCACATGAACAAATTCTGTTTCTGCTTGCAGTGGAGGTCTTTGAAGCTGAGAATTATCCGATGCATCCAAAGATTAGGAGGATACAGTTAACAACCAAGTCCAGTGAGTCTGTGATTTGTACCCTAGTAACCTGCATTTCCCCAGGGCTAGGGTGTTTAGGGGGTGGGGTCCTGGGGTCCTGCAGGCTGGTACACTACCCGTGGAGTCCCAGGGCGGGGGATACCTACCTTGACAGTATAGATCTGGAAGTAGATGGGTTGGGTGCCCATGCGAACGTAGTAGGTGATGACATCCAGGATGAAGGGGTCCACAGTCCGGGATGTGTCCAGGGACGGGGGCTGTGAAGGGGCAGAGAAGGTCTTCAGCCACCACCCTCCATGTGACTGTGGGGGGTGCTATTTTGGTAACAGAGAAACTCCAACGCTCCCACGTACCCTCCATGAGGCACTAACCCAGCTGGTCCCTCAACACACTCTAGGCCTTTCCTCCCACCCGATTTCCACCCCCAGGTCCCCAGGGCCTCTGATTCATTCCACTTGCACAAAGACATATGGGGTGCCTCTAGGTGGAAGGCACTGAGCTGGGTGCCTTGGGTGTAGACAAGATGCTTGGGAATATAGCCAATGATCACAGAGTCTGGGCTGGGTCCCAGCCACTCACTGGCCAAGTGACCTAGGGCATGAGAAGTGCAGGGATCTGCTGTCTCCTTCAGCCCTTGGGGTGTTTATCACAGATTAATTTACATTTGTAGGTTATTGGGAAAACACTAGTGCCATGTCCTGCAGGCCTTCCTCATATGATTATAAAGCAGAACCATGGTTTTTTTTTCTTTTAGATAAATTGAATGCTCACATAGTACCAGAATTGGAAAGCAGCTAGAGTTTATCTCATCCAACTCATACCCAATCCTATAACATCTCTTCTGACTCTCCTGTCTGGCCTATCGAAATATTGCTCCCTTCAGAAAGGCCACATGAAGGAATGGTGAACGTACTCTAACAAGGCTGTCCTTGCTCACACTGTTTCCAGTCTCTTCCTGTGGAAACCACTTTTGGAGGAAGCATTGGGGCCGTACAAATTGTTAATTATGAGGGCAAGGAGAACAGGGAGGACCCTAAGTCCTGCATGTGTACCAGCATGGGAATAAAAGCTACCGTAGAAGAGGACAAATAAGACGTTCCTCCTCTAACAGCCTCCAAGTTTTGAGCAAAAAAGTATTTCAATACCCAGCTAAACAGTCTCCTGTGCATACGCAAAGACATTTTTCGGGTAAGCAGTAATTCAGGAAACAGGCCTCCCCCCGTGCCTCTATTAGAATGTACAAGAAACCACCCTAATCAAGTCAAGTGTCAAGTTAGAAATCAGGTACCTAAAATCAAGAGGCTCGTTTTATGTAGGAGTACCTGCCGCCCAGATATAAGGGGCGGGGAGAGAGACCATCCACAATGGCAAGAAAAAAACTAGGAAACATAAGGAGGAAATTTAACCAGAAATGGGTAAAAGCGCTGTGATTAACAGTGTAAGGCTATTCTGAGGGACACACACAAGACTTCCCTACATGAAAATAAACACCATGCTCCCAGAGGGGGCTGAGTAACACCCTAAAACAGGCTGATTCTCTTCCAAATTTCAATTGAAATCCCAAGGGAGGTGGAAGGATTAAAAAAAAAAACCTGACCAAATTTCTAATATTTATCTGGAAACAGACATGAACAAACATAGTCTGAAAGGTTTTCAAGAAGGAGAGTAATGGGGTAGGCTTACCCTGCCAACTATTAAATTAAAAAATGCTAACGTGGCCGGTAATGAATGGATTAACGAGAAAGAGTTAAGTGTCCCGGAATAAACTCAAGCATCTGTAAAAATTTAGTGGATGATAAAATGTGCATTTCAGACTGACGGGGCAAGATGGTTCGTGCAATAAATAGCTTTAGGACAACTGGCTAGCCATTTGGAAAAAAACAATTTGCATGCCTCACACTCAACCCTGAAATCGATTGCAGGCAGGTTATTTAAATGGAAAAACCGAGACCTGAAAAGTTACAGTAAATGATCAGTGAATATTAGTTTAATCCTGGATATAACGTAATCAGTGGAGAAGACCTGTCAATGCAGGACGCCAACGGCAGGTATCACAAAGGATGAAAGTAAAATGCATAAAAATATCGGACTTCTGTAAGTCATAAAACCCTACTGACAAGATTGATAGGCAAGTAAACAAAATGGGAAAAAAAAGTCTGCAACACCAAAAAGGTTAAGATTCTCTTAATATGAGGGGTGCCTGCCTGGCTGGCTCAGTTGGTGGGGCATGAGGCTCTCCATCTCAGGGTTGCGAGTTCGAGCCCCACGTTGGGGGTAGAGTTTACTGGAAAGATATAAAAAAAGATTTTCTTAATAGATAAAGGCCTTTTCAAGTCAGGAAAAGATGGGAACTCCCTCCCTACCACCCAGGAGAGTTGGGGGGTAGCAGCCTGGTTTTGTGGTCAAGAGGATATGCTCTGGAATCAAGCTGTCTGATTCCAAGTGGGACTCGACCTCTCATTTTGCAACTCTGGACTAAGTTACCTAACTTATTTGCATCCCCGCGGCTTGATCTGTAAAATGGGGACATGGCAACATTAGCATCCGCCAGCAAGAGTGCCTACTTGGTAGGGCTGCTGAGTGCCTGGCCCGTGTGAGCGCCCAGGAGGCATGGGCTCTTACAATCACAGAGAAACCATCCCAGGAACCTCAGAAGAAAAGGAAGAAATGGGGGCCTACACCCTTAGGGAAGAAGGTTCTGCTTCACATTGTCCCCAGTGTCCCCCCGCCCCCAAAGCAGGTGCCTGTTAAGAGTTCCGAGTGAATTTCCACCACGAGCTGGTTAGGGCTCCTCCCTTGTGCTCCCTTCCAGCCTCATCCCACCCCAGCGGGCCCTGGGGCTGACTCTTGAGGTCGAGAGCCAAGGGTGGTATCTGAAAACGGGCCCCTCCCACCTCCCCCCTACCCTCGCGGGCCCCCTACCATCTCTGCCAGCTTGTGGATGGCCGGGCATAGTGTGTTGACGGTGTTCTGGTACCACGGGTCTGCGCGGCCCAGGAACGTGGCCAGCTCTCTGAGCTCCGAATGTCTGCATGACGGCGGCTCCTGGGGACAGGGGGACAGGGCGGACCCATCAGGCCCGGTCTCTGGCACTTTCTTCCTGGCCAGAGGTTCCCCTAGGCAAACTGGCCAAACACTGAACCTCTTGGGGCCTCAGTTTCTCTGCCATGTGAAGACCATTAGGTTTTACGCCTCCGGTGAAGCTGGGATACCCTTGACTGAGGGCCGCTTGCCAGGGACGTTGAAAAATGACCATGAGCCTTGGAAGTGGAGAGACAAGGACTGCTTTGAATTTACTGCTCCCGGAAAAGCAAGCAGAGTGGGACAGCAGAAATGCAAAGCTGCAAGAGTAAGGTTGTCCCCCACCCCCCAATAGATCAATGGGCTCCCACTGTCTGAAATTTCCTTTTATGTGACCCCGGGAAGCGTGCTGTGTGTGCGAGCCCCTGTTTGAGGAGAAGCTTGCAATGAATTCCATTAGAAAAGCCAAACAATGGGGCGCCTGGGTGGCTCAGATGGTTAAGCGTCTGCCTTCGGCTCAGGTCATGATCCCAGGGTCCTGGGATCGAGTCCCACATCGGGCTCCCGGCTCAGCGGGGAGCCTGCTTCTCCCTCTGACCCTCTCCCCTCTCATGCTGTTTCTCTCTCGCTCTCTAAAAAATAAATAAAATCTTAAAAAAAAAAAAAAGAAAAAAAAGAAAAGCCAAACAAAATTCAGCCATGGGCAGGCTGCCCCCGTGAGGGGACGTTCAGCCTCCAGGGCCCGCATCTGGGGCTTCTGGAACACAGACCTGATCTAGACGGGCTCCCCCGGCCCCGCAGCCTAAGGAAGGACGATCCTAGTCCCTGGAGCCAGGGATGCGGCTGCCCAGCCCCTAAGCCAGACCCCTGCTGGGAACAGCCCCCCTACTCCTTCCCCCACGTCCCTCCCCTCCCTTCCCTCCCTCCCCTGCCCTGCCCAGCCACCTCGGGCGCCAGCACGGGGATGTAGTAGAGCTGCAGGCTGAGTCTGGGGGTGAGGCAAAACTTCTGGGTCTCTCGTTTCCTGGAAAGGGGCAGCAGACCACAGGGTTTACGTAAAGGCAGGTGTTGTGGTTCCCAACAGTTCCACATCCCGGTTCTGGTATTTAGTATCTCTTGACTTGGGGCGACATGCTCAATCTCTCTTAGCCTCTGTGTTCCCATCTACAGAATGGGTACAGTAATGTCTGTCTCGAGGGGCGGTGGCGGGGCTTACGGAGCTCACTGCAAAGTGCCGAGCTGGTGACCGCACCCCTGCTGCATATGGGCCTGCCTGTGCCCCGGCCAGCACCACCCCCGCCTCCAGTTGCCCTCCCCCCCGCCCCCCCACCACGGGGCCCTACCTGAGGCTGTGGTAGGCCTGGGCCAGGCGCCCCAGCATCCTGTCGTCCCCCAGCACCAGCACCCTGGCCGTGTGGATCCGGGAGACACCGGGCAGTAGCTCCCCATCCCCACTGGGCATGCCCGTCCTGCGGTGCAGCCCCTGGGGCCCGTCCCAGCACGCAGGCATCAAGATGTCGGGGGGCCACACCCGCTTCCTAATGCCTCCTTTGCGCTGCAGCCCGGCGCGCTCCATCTCAGGGCTGCCGGGGACAGGCAGCTCGTCGGCCCCTGCGGGGAGGTCCCGCTCAATGCCACTGTCAGTGGACAGAATGGATGCCCGGGCCAGCTCCCGGTCCGGCCAGAGGCCCTGCAGATCCAAGGCCTCCAAGTCGGCACTGAGGCGCAACTGGGATCGCGGGCGCAGGAAGAGTACCAGTTCCTTCCCTGGGATGCCGAGAACAAGGGGACCGTCAGGGCGGAGAAGTTACGTGAGGCCGGCAGGGTCTCACCCCAGCAAGGCCTGTGGTTCTGTGTTTCTCAAACACCGTTCAGCCAGATAGAAGCCCCACAAGATGCCCCACAAAGGAATAAAGGTTCTGTGGCTAACAAAGACGGAGAACCCCGCATATTCCTGCCACCTCTTGTTGAGTTCCATTAGTAAACATATTAAAGGCTCTGAGAAGTCCTGCAGTAAAGAAGTCAGCTTCACTCAGTACCTCCCACTTAGCTGACCCTGGAGTCCTCTTTATCATATCCACTCATCGGCTTCCTCCCATCCTCCCACTGTCTGTAGCTTCTCCCGGGACAAAGAGAACAGACTGCACCTGCTCCAGGAAAGACTCCCAGGCTTTTCTAATCTGCTTTCATTTTATTACCCATGAGAAAACTGAGTCAGTGTAGGGTGACCCAGCATAGGAAAGGAAGTGCCAGGACTTGGACCCAGTTCACTAGCCCAGCACTTCCCACCATAATCCACACCCCTGTCTGCCCCCCACCCGCCTGCCTTGAGAAGGGCTGGGGACAGCCGCATGGGAACACAGGTGGATAGAAGTGTCAGGCAGGCGGGTCTCTCCAGCTGCTGGAACTGGAACTGTTTTTGGTGACTGCCTCCTCCCTGGGGACATTCATTGCCTATTAGCATCAACATGGCATGTGGCAATTCCCAGGCATGTGAGCTATTCTGACATAGAGAAAATGGGTCCTCCTGGATGTGCAGAACGACTCAGGGAACAAGGAGCACGCACCCACGCGCGCACACACACACACACCTATTTCCAGCCAGCTCTCCACGGAGAAGATGCAAGGCACTTACAGAGCTGCTCCTCATCGGTCCACAGGTGGAAGGTGATGTGAGGGCTGGGCAGAGGGATGCTTGGCTGCGGGTCCTGCAGGCGGTCACCTGAAGGCAGGAGGAGGGCTGTGGCATTCTCTGCCCTCCCCCCTCCAGTTCCTATAGGGCCCAGAGAGGGTGCAGAGACCCTCTCTCCCATATGGTCCAGCCCAGGCTTCCTCTCTGTCCCATCGGCTCACCCAGGGCCCAACAGCCACCTGTCCCCTCCCTGCCCGAGGCTGTTTAGCGGCCCCCTGTTTCCTGCAAACTTCCTAGTGTCCTTTGGGACCTTTCCTCCCGTGGTTGGTCCCTTCCCGCTAACCCCGAGCCAGAAGCGCAGCCAGGCCAGGTCACCTTTCTTGCTGCCGTGTTTCTATAACACAGCCTGGGTCTGATTCTTAGTAGCCGGGTGATGTTGGGCAAGATTTTTCAGCCTCTTTCTAACTCAGGCTTCTCGTCTATAAAACGAGGGGCATAATTTCTATCTCAGAAGTTTGCTCTGAGGATTAATCCATGCAACATGGAACAGCAGCTGGGGGACAGGCGGTGCCCCACAGGTGACAGCTGTCACTGTGACCAAATCACCCGCCTTCTTAGCCGCTTCCCCCCCCTTCCAAGTTCCTGGCGGCCCTCAGTCCCCAGGCTCCCTCCCCGCGCGCGGCAGGTGCAGCGCTGCTCTCTGGCGCCCCCTGCGGGCCCTCGCCGGGCCTCGCTGCCCCCGCCCGCTTACCGCAGCAGCTCCCCCTGGCGGCCGCCGCCGGCCCCAGCAGCGAGCAGTAAATCTCCTCTAGCCTCTCCAGGTGTACCTCCCGGCTGGGGTTGGGTTCGCCGGCCATCTGCTCCACGGCTGCCACCACGGCGTGGAAATAGCGCTCCAGGGCGTGGCGAGGGCTGGCCTGCCGGGGGGGCGGTGAGCGCCAGGGCCTGGGTCCCGGCCCAGCACCCACCCCCCCCCAGCTCCGACGTTGCCCGAAGCTGCTTGCACCTGCGGGTCCCCTCTGTCCCTCCCACTGTGGCTCCCTGCAAGGGCTGGACCCCAGAGCGGGGCAGGGATCGCCGTCCTGGGATCAATGTGCTGCCCCCACCTGGGTGCAAACTCCGGGAAGGCAGGCCTCTGTTTGCAGTCGCACCCGATGCCCCTAGAACATCTTCCGACACAGCAGGTGCTCGAGAAACAGTTGCCTAGACTTCTGTCATTCCTACGCTATCTTGATTTACTTGCAATTTTTCTTTCAATCAGCTCACCTTTTTGTGTTCAGAATGATTTCAGAGGGGCAATTTATGTTGCTACTCTCTATAAAAAGGCTAGTGTCGCAGAGGTAACAGACAATAACTAAGGTGACTATAACGATCACAAGGCACGATTATTAAATTCTAGCCAGGTACTCTGGCCTGCCAAGCTTTAGAGCTTGGAGCTTCCCTTCTCTCTCTTTTTAAAGATTTATTATTTATTTTATTTTATGTGGGTTTTTTTTTAAGATTTTATTTTTATTTGAGACAGAGAGAGAGAGCACAAGCAGAGGGAGAGGCAGGCAGAGGGAGAAGTAGGCTCCCTGCTCAGCGGGACTTGATCCCAGGACCCTGGGATCATGACCTGAGCCGAAGGCAGATGCTTAACCGACTGAGCCACCCAGGAGCCCCAAGATGTATTATTTATTTTAGAGCGAGAGCACATGCATGAGCGCCAGGGGGAGGGGCAGTGAAAATCTTAAGCAGACTCTGCACTGAGCCCCACATGGGGCTCCAGCCAGGGGCTTGCCTTAGGGCGTTGTGGGGCTCGAGCTCACAACCCTGAGCTCACGACTCGACCTAAAACCAAGGGTCAGATCTTAATTAACTGCACCACCCAGGCGCCCCTGCTGCCTTCTCTTTTTAGAAAGGGAAGTTAGGGGGCGCCTGGGTGGCTCAGTTGGTTAAGCGACTGCCTTCGGCTCAGGTCATGATCCTGGAGTCCTGGGATCAAGTCCCGCATCGGGCTCCCTGCTCAGCAGGGAGTCTGCTTCTCCCTCTGACCCTCCCCCATCTCATGCTCTCTCTCTATCTCATTCTCTCTCTCAAATAAATAAAATCTTTAAAAAAAAAAAAAAAAAGAAAGGGAAGTTAGTGTTAAAGAAATTAGGGGTAAAGCACCAAGCTGAGCCTTTCTCCTTAATGGAAATTAATGGAAACAGGTTTTGTAAGCCTCTCGTTGTGCATTCTGTGCTCTTTAGCATGGCTGCTTCCCGCCTCCAGTCATATACACCCTCAAGATCTGTCCCACCACCTCATTTACTCTCTGATTCCATCTGATTCCATCTTCTATACTCTTCCTCTCTTCCCCTCTGCTTTGGCTACACAGGTCTCCTTATCGTTCCTCAAATGCACCAGACATGCTTACACCCCAGGGCCTTTGCACTTGCTGTTCCCGATGCTTGGAATGTTCTCTTGGATATCCACATGGCTCGCTCTTTCACTTCCTTTAGGACTTGACTCAAAAGTCACCTGACAGGGAGACGTCCCTTATCGCATGATCTAAAATTTCAGCCCCTCCCCCCCAATTTCATGTCCTTCTTCTCTGCACATTTTCCCCTTTAGCTGTTATTTATGATATTATACATTTTACTTATCTTGTTTATTATCACACACACAGAGCAAGAAAGAGAAAGAGATACACTATAATATAAACTCCCTGAGGACAGGAATTTTTATCTGGATCCCAGCACCTAGAGCGAACAATGCCTGACACATAGTGGGTGCTCAGTAAATATTTAATGTATTTATAAATTAAGCAACAAGACGAAATGGATTCTATGGCCCCTTCCAACTCTGATTCATATATTCCTCTAACTGCCTTATTTATTCATTCCGCAAATATTTATTGGAGCCCTAGCTGGTCAGAATGACCTGCTCTTCCTTAATCGGGAAGTCAGGACCCTGCTCGGCAGACTCCTAGCACAGAACAGAGGTGGGCCTGCTGATGTCCTTGTTAGAACCCCGCATCCTCTAAGCTAGAAGATGGGATTCTTTAGTGGTGGGTGAGGGTGAGGGAAGACAGCCAGAGAACATAATCCAGGGCACTTGCTCTCAGAGGGTCTTATAGGCCAGAAACAATCACCAGAGCTGCTGGGAGGTGGTGGGGGTTGCTGGGTCAGTAGACAAACTCCTCCCCTCCCCACATTTCTGAGACCCATGGCCCATTGTGGACATGATCCCTTCTGGACAGTAATCCCATCTGGGGCCATAGGTGCCTGGGCTGAAACCAACATGGGGCTTAGGTATGAGCTGGGGGCGCCTTCCTCCAGGATGTGGCCCAGTGCTGTGAACTCCCCAAAGGGGGTGCTATCAACGAGGGACATAAAGGATAGTGGGGAAGGGGAGTGAGTTGGGAACCTTCCACAGGTCCCAGCAACCACAAAGGAATGGAATTCTGAAGGCATGAAGGGCTCTTTGAGAGCAAAGGAATGATGGAAATCAGTCATCATGGTTTCAGGAGGGACCTAGCCATACATAAAAGTCACTGTCAAAGGAAGTGTCCAAGATGCTGGGCTCAGAGCATGGATGGAGGGTTCCAGGTGGAGAACGGCAAGAGGAATGGGGCCGCATCCGATGCATCTTGATGGGCAAAGCAGGGTCTGAGACAGGGCCGGATGAAGGACTGATACCCCTTCCTGGGGCAGGACAAGCGGGGGATAGCTGAGCCCCTAAGAGCACCCCCCCTTCTGGTGCCTGTCCCTCCCATAGCAGCAACCCCACAGCCCCGAGCTCGGAACCTTAGCCACGATCCCACCCAGCTGCCCCAGAGGACCAGAGCCTTTCCCCTCAAAAAGGTCACCTCCCACGGTGCGGGACGCACAGCCCCAGGTGGCATCCTCCCCCTCTAAGAAGTCCTGCATCTGCTACAATGCTTGGCTGGAGCATCTCTAACCTACTGGAGTCTTGGCTGTGTACAAGGGCCCAGGCTGAGTCAGAGAGAGAAATTAGGAAGTAAACAGGTGAGCGTGAGAAATGAATAAAATGCCCACAACAGGAACAGGGGACTAGTTAAATAAATAACAGCACATTCATAGGTGAGAATATGGTGCAGCCATTAGGGGTACATATTTTCCAAAGAAAGCGTTTCCATATGGCGTATTTCCAGTGTTCCAGTGCACATACGCGTGCAGTATATAAAAACTGTATACAGAATTTGGTATCTCCTTTTGTTAAAAAAGCACTGGTGGGGAGTTGGGGCTGGGAGGCGGTGGAATGTAGGTTTGAAGTCAGAGAGATCTGGGTTCAAATCCCGACTCAGTCCCTTTGTATCTGTGTGACCGTGGGTAGGTTAGCAACCTCTCTGTGCCCATTTTGACAATTATATCCATTTCACAATGTCGTTAAGATGTGGTGAGAATTTTGCGATACCTGTGAAGCGTTTAGCGCTGTGCCCGGAACAGAGCAGACGTTCAGTCAACAGCAACTATGATGATGAGCGTCGTCAGTATGATTCAGCAAATAGACCACAATGTTCATTGCTAGTATGTCTGGGTGGGGGGCGTGAGGGATTTTTGTTTCCTCTTTTGGCTTACGTGCATTTTTTTTCCCCCAGATCTTCCTCCTTGAGTGTGTACTCATTTTTGATTGAGGGCAAAACGGTATGAAAATAGAAGAAGCGGGAGGATGAGTCGGAGCGCCGGCGTGGGCTACAGCCAAGGAGGGCTGGGGCAGGGCAGTTACCTTCAGCTTCCTCTGCAGGGAACTTGCATGGCAGGCGTCCCCAAGTGCGGCCTGCAGGGCGTGGGAGACCACGTGGCGCATGCAGGCCTCCGGGGTCTGCTGCGCCTGGGCCGCCTCGATCTCCAGCAGCAGGGCGCTGCACACGGAGGGAGACACCAGCTCAGGATCCACGAAGAGGAACACTCTGAGGGCAGGGGGTGGGGGGTAGGGGGGCTGGTGAGGATGACTACCAGGAGAGGAGCCCCTGGATGGGCACCCTCAGAGCCTCGCAGCCCCCAAGTGTTTTGTTTCTCCAAAAACAGGAGCCTCGAATTCGAAAGTCTAAGAGGGGGATGGCGATAGGGAGCGGTGGGGACTGGGGCAAATCAGAGCAGGCAGGAGCAGCTCGTCCCTGTTGGGGCGGGGGGAGAGGGAAGGCTAGTCTAGAGTCCAGGTAAGCCCCAACCTAAATTCTGCTCCCTCCCCTAGCTCCAGGGCCCACTGATGACATCAGCCTCCAGGAGGGACCCTAAATCCTTCCTGCCCAAATGGGCTCTGGACCCTGAGTGAGCCCCATCTCCTCCCATTGCCCGATCACACCCGAAAGCCAGCCTCCCGCATCTGCTCCCCCTCCCCGCTGCCAGCTCCTCTGGGTCCCTCCACCTCCCTGCACCCTCCGTGAACACCACCTCAAGCTGCCCCTTCCAGTGCTAGCTCAGGGCGGGAGGCACGGCACCCCCAACTCCATCAGCCCCTCTTCCCAACACGACAAGTGGACATTGGCTCAATCTTGCGTAAAGGGCAAGGCACACACAGATGAAAGGCCCACATTCCATCGTGTGCTTGTGGCCTGAGCTATAAATACCCCGAAGCGACCTCTGGCTGCCTGGATGGGTGATGCTGCTTCACGGCCAAGGGCGGGATGGAGGTGGGACGACAGAACTCCAGAGTGGCTCAGGGCTCATGTCACATTCTGCACGGGAGCAGGATGGCTCGGAAGCCCAGCCCAACAAGAAAGACCTACCCTGCTTCCGGTGATCTCCGGAGAAGGCAGGCCCCGCCCACCCTTGAAAATACACCCCACTGCTAGACACATGTCATGCATGGGAAGCTCTGCTGGGGTTCCTCTCCACCCCGCCTGGTCCCCCTCAGTGAGCAGTCACGTAGTCCCAACACCTGGACGGGACAGAAGGCAGCAGTCTTCCTGGGGACACTCACCTCTCCTGGTAGGGGTACAGCTCACTCGTCAGGTTCTGTTCGGCAATGACCAGCCTTTGGTACAGCGTCCCTGCAAAGCAGACCACCTCAGCCAACCAGCCCCTGGTCCCTGACCCCCATTCCTCACCCTCCTCAGAAGGTGCTGGGACTTTAAGGCTCCAGGAACCTTGGAGAAAGAGCAAGACGATGACGCGCTGCAGCTGGGACTTAGCTGGGACGGCTCTTACCTGGGACAGCTGTCTCTGTTTTCAGCCTTATGGCGCAGTCCAAGGCTACTGTGCAGTAGGGGGCGGGCAGGGTTAGCAGCTTCGTGCAAAAGTTGTAGGTTCTCCGGTAGAGCTCCTCCCTGATGCCGGTGGCCTGGGTGGTGGGAGGGAGGAGTCGGGTGCCCAGAGCCCTAGGTCACAGAGGGCTCTGGGCGGGGTGGGAGAGTGGGATGGAGAGGAGGAAGGACGGGCTGACAGCCAGACCTGGGCTCACACCTCCCTCCCAAATGTACACCCCCCAGCCTCTTCTCCCGTCACCTGTAAGACACCTCTTCTCTGACACCCCACTCAAATTCACTATGGTATGGATCCATCTCACCCTGTTCTGCTGGCAAATCCACCCCCCTCACCACCCTTCGGCTCCTCTTTCCTGCAGTGCTCCAGGCTCAAAGCTTGGGTATCCAGTGGGCACGATGCTCGCAGTGCAATGCCCGGGGGCTCCCCTTGCCCCCACCCAGCCTCCTGCCTTGGCCAGAGCCCAGCCCCATCCTGTCCCTGGATTCCAGCAGCCCCTGAACTGCTCTTCGTGCCCCTCATCTCCCTCGCTGCCCACTCCCACCCCCTGTGACTATACTCAGCTCCTGGTTCCTGTTCTCAAGACATTTTCTCCGTGGCTTGTCCATTCTCTGTGCAGGGGTCAGTGATGGCCCCCAGTGCACATAGGAGCAATCCTGAGGACCTCATTCTGGCAGTCGAGACTCTCGTGCATTCTGTGAACTGCTTTCCCCACTTCCCCTCCGTGTATTAGGGAGAGGGCACCGCTAGGGTGGAGAAGCCAGTTTGGGGCTTCCAAGAGTTCTAGGCTCACCCAGGCAGAGACCGGGTGTCCTCTGAGGGAGAGGACAGTGTCTGGCCCTGGGACTTGTGGGGTTCCACGACCCCCCTGACCCTCAGCCCCAGCTCACCTTAGTGAGCACGTACAGTAGGGTATGCAGCAAAGGAATGATGACATGCCGGAGGTCTTCGCTTTCTGCCTGGAAAACAGGGGACCACGGGGCATTTACTGGGCTGGCGCTCAATGGGGGCTCCCCACATCCTAGCAGGATGCAGCTTGGGGGTGTGGGGGTGGGCAGGAGATGGGGTGGAAGGCAAGCGTCCCATCACACCAAGGGGAGGGAAAAGGGCACAGCCTGCCCTAGTAGGGGAGGGGTAGGTGGGGAGGGAGCACAGGGGTGGGAGCCGGCTGGGAGAGCCTGGGGCGCGTGGGGCAACCACGCAGGGCAGGAGTTCATGCCAAGCAGCAGGCCAGCCGCCCCCCCACCCCAAACATGGAGGTGCCTGAGTGCAGCGTCTCCCAAACGGTTGCAACGCAGAGCATCGGGTGGTGTGGGGGATAATTTTGGGTGGTACAAGAACAATTTTGAAACATTTTTAATAGGTCTGCATTTATGTTTATCGGTGTTTTCTGTTCCTGCAAGTGAGGGGTTTCCATGTATGGCCACGGTACAGAGTTTTTGAAATATGCAAAGTCAGGGGAAACCATGGGATCCCCTATAGAAGTACAAGAGGGAGACAGAGCTGCTGAAAATCATGCAGGCGGGCCACAAGGGACCAGAGTTTGGGGGACGCAGCACGATGGGACTGAGGCCCCGCCTCTCTCTACCTCCTCCCCCAACCCATCTGCCTCCCCGCAGCCTGAGAGAGAACCCACCTTTTCCAGTTCTCTGAGCAGAATTCGGACCAGCACCGGACTCTTACCAGGATCTCGCTCGACCTTCTTGTGCAGGGACCATCTCCACATGCCTGGCTAGGACAGAGGGGAGCCCAGCACACAGGCGGGGCAGAGGGCTCTTAGAGGGGACCCTCCTGAGCAGGACCCTGAGCCCTGGAGCCCTACACCATGACTCTGACCAGCCACAGATCCGACCTCTCCGCCGGGCGCCTGGCTCTGGGGGCACAAGGGTGGGCTTGTCACACATGGGGGGATTCTGCTCCACTACCCATCGAGGACAGCAAATTCTCAGGGTGGAAAGGATGGGGACTGTGGAACATTAGTGGGGCGGAGTGTGCGTGTGGCTTATGGGCTGGCTATGTTTGCAGCTCAGCTCCTCGGGCCACATTTCTGGAAGTCGTGCGGGCTCAGAGGTCAAGAGGGATTCTGCTTGCACGGGGAGCTGGGGAGCTGGTTGAGAAAGAGCGGGCGCGGAGGCTGCCTGCTGGCTCTTACCTTGGTTGTTCTGCAGGGCTGGGGCCTGGGTGCTGAGCTCTCGAAGCACTGCCTGCACACTCCGCTGGAGGTCCAGCTCCACATCTGGGCAGCAGGGGTGGGAGGGGGGGAGCACTGAGGCCAGGAGCTTTGGAGCTCAGCGCCCCTGGCCTCACCCTTGCCCCTACCCCTGCTCTCCCTGAGACCATCTTTTGCCCCTTCTATAAGCCCCAAGAGGTGCCCCAAAGTGAGCAGCTTAGAGCGGGCAGCCCACACACGGGTCTGCAATAGAGCCTTTCAATCAGCATCTCCGTGTTCTCTGTAAAACCCACGGTCCCCAAAGCGCCGGAGTGGTCCTGAAACCTGAATAATTACGCACTTTTTAAAATGTGTGTTCGAGAAAAATATGATGTGTTCCCAAGTTTCAAGTCAATTTCACGTCAGATCAGTGCTGGGACAGGAGGTGACAGACTGTCCCCTCATCAAACTTACCTCAGGCTCCGCTAAGCCAACCTTCCCTCCAGACCCCGGCCTCGGCCCCGGTTCTGTCTCCCGCCCGCCTGGCCCAGTTTGAGCAGAACGTTGTTGGCCGGAATCCAGACACCCCATGTCTCCTTGGACAGATTTCCACCCGCCGACCCACTCGCGGTCCATGGGCTTGTAACTCCCCAGGTTTGTGTCATTTGGGACGGAGCCCCATCTCTGTCCCCTGGTGTGAGGTCTAGAATAAAGTCTCCCTGGCCATTGGAACCAGGGTCACGGGATCGTTCTTTCTTCAACTGTGGTCCATTGACGTGGCAAAGTGTGAGCGTGGTACAAGGATGAGCCCCTGACATCGGGAAGCATGGGAGCAGTGAGGAGGCCCCTGGCCCCTCTCCCACTGCAGGGAGGTTAGCTGGCCGGGGTTGGGGGGTGCTCGGGGCTGTGCACCTACAGTCCATCGCCTGGCGCGGGGCCACGCTCCCGGCCACTGTGGCACTCCTCCTCCAAGACTTGGATGCCCTCCAGGCACCTGACTTCAGCTCAGGGCTCCCCAACCGCCCTGCCGAGCCTTTCTTGGTCACAGCTCAGTCGAACGCATTTCCACGAGCTCGTCGACTCTTTCTCCTTCCCTCAGAGCTGGATATCAGTCAGCACCCTCTTTGTATCCCGCCACTGGGCTGTGTCCCCACCTCAATCCCTGCATGGCCACCCTATTGTGAGGTCTGCTTCTTGGAGTCTTCAGACTAAAAACAGGAAGCATGAGAGACACTTCCCGCACCATAAATTCCTCTTTGTGACTGGCTTTCACCAAGCATTTGTCTTCATAGGCAAGTGTGCCTTCTTTGGTTGTCATACAATACAAACCACATGCCTCGGGGGTTCCTCTTTTGCTGCGTTGTCAGGAAACTTACAAAGTGGGGGCCCCAGCCCCAAAACCCAGCTCATCTCCAGGGACATGGACGCCTCCTCCTCTCTGCTCCTTTTTGGTGCTCTTGCTTTATGTTCTACTAAACCTATATCTTAATTCCCTCGCATTCCTTTGGAAGCAGGCAGGATAGAGATCACACATTTTAAAGAATCAGCAGGTAGAATGTGTCTAGCCAAGGCGCTGGTGCTCAGGGACCAGCCCCTCCGGGGCTCTGGCATGAGCTTGGCTAAGTCGGCCAGGGCCCCCCGGCTTCTCTGAAACCCCCACCTTTCTCCTGCTGCTCACTTGGTCCTCCTGGACCTCATCAAGGTCTGTTCCTGAGTCTCCCCAAGGCTGAGAGTGGGCACCTCTTACAACCCAAGTTTCTCCACTGGCCACTCTGCTGGGCAGTGCAGCATTCCCCCACCCCCACACTGGCAAAGAAATCTTTAAGCCTGGCACAAAGGCTGGTCACAAGTTATCTTTCCATCTACCTGTCTCCACCTTGCATGGAGATTTAAGGAGTTAACGCAGGCAGAGTTATTAAAACATTATGTTATGTCTACTTCCTTCTTTTCCTCCTTCCTTCTTTCTGCCCTCCCTCCTTCCCCAGCCGCCAGACCATGGACAGCACAGACTTAAAACTATGATAACCGTGATCTCCTCCCCACCCCCTCACTAGAAGGGCAGCCAAGCTTTTGTCTTCTGAGCCCTGGGTTCCCCTGCCTTGCACAGGGAGTCAAGCTTTTATGTTTCAGAGAAAAATAGAGAAGTTGCCAGTAGCCCCAGGAGACAGCCCCAAATAAAGTTATGTTTTCGAAAGTCTGGGCGGCTGGAACAAACGCTCAGGCTTTGGGCCACATCTGGCTTGCAGACGTGTTTTGTTTGGGCTTATAGAGCGTCTTGGAAAAAAAAAAAATCGAATCAGCTGCCAACATGTACAAATCAGGAGATTTTGCATGAAAGTTTGGGTTCCTGGCATCTCTTGAAAGTCTGTTAACACCAGGAGTGCATTCTTCGCACATGTGGCAATCCACGGGGCTGGGGAGGGGGGCTCCCCCTTGAAACGGGGCACAGCTACTCGGGTTCTTCACAGTGCCCCCTCTCCTTGTTTCGCTCATCGACACCCTGTACCCGGCCCCTTGGGTTTGAGACCCCGGACTCTGGGACTGAGACAACCCAGCTGGATTGTCTCAAAGGGATGGGGATGAAGGCTGCTGGTTTTAGCTACTGAGGACAGTGGCACCCCGAGGCGGGAGGCTGGGTTCCCCAGGACTGTGAGCGCCCAAGAGTTACGGGGACCCAGGGAATGAGAAGGACTGGGGCTGGCTGGGACACAGCCTCACGGGGGTGGCAGAGATCTCAGCTGAATGCAGGCGAGCACTACACTCTGTGCTTGAGGGTCACTGCTGTGGTCTCCCGGGTCACCTTGGCCAGCGCACAAGAATGTCTCCAAAGGAACCCCCTCTCACCCTACGGACCATGCAGACCTGGCCAACCTGTTTGGTGAGGGGGGTGGGCTGTAGCTACAGCGGACTGAAGACCATGGCCTCTTCCCATCATGAAGACTTTATAACGCCTGGGCTTACAAGATCACAAAGACGGGGGAAGCACCCCAAGCGAATGACACTGGAATTTGTACTGACCTTGGAAAATGAGAGCTTGAAGCTGGATTTGATTTGATTAAGCAAAAGAAAGAAACGGGATATTTCTTGTGCCTCGAGCGTCTCAGGGTTGTTCATATACGACATGCATGTCTCTATTATTCTTGACTCAGAACAGCCAATAAATAAATGACATTCAAAATTATTATCTTCCCCTCCATCCAGGAATGTGGGATATTACTATCAGGCATCACATTACTATTAATAACTAACATTTAAATAGCACATAAAAGGCGTACACACAGAGTCTTACGGAGGTGTGGCAAGACAATGTTATGTTGTTGGGCACCTGGGTGGCTCAGTTGGTTAAGTGTCTGCCTTCAGCTCAGGTCATGATCCCTGGATCCTGGGATCAAGTCCTGTATTGGGCTCCCTGCTCTGCGGGGAGCCTGCTTTTCCCTCTGCCTCTGCTGCTCCCCCTGCTGTGCTCTCTCTCTCTCTGTGTCAAATAAATAAAATCTTTAAAAAAAAAAAAAAGACAATGTTATGTGTTCATCAAACTGATTTCAGGTTTGTCCCAGGTCACTGGGAAGACTACATTTCCCAGAATCCCCTACAGGTAGATGGGTACCATGGGCTGAGTCCTGTCCAGTGGAATGCAGTGGACACAATGTATGACATAAAATCCTCTGCACTGGGGCGCCTGGGTGGCTCAGTCTGTGAAGCATCTGCCTTCGGCTCAGGTCATGATCCCGGGGTCCTGGGCTCGAGCCCCGCCTCGGGCTCCCTACTCAGCAGGGAGCTTGCTTCTCCCTCTCCCTCTGCACCTCCTCCTGCTTGTGCTCTCTCTCTCACACATTCAGTAAATAAATAAAATCTTAAAAAAAAATCCTCTGCATTATCCTCCACCGCTGTCTTCCCATTCCTTGGTGACCTTGGAAGACGTGTTGGAGAAGACGGTGCCACAAGCAGGAAGGAGCCTCAGTCCCTAAAGGACTGGAGCCTGGACTGGATGGTGTAGTGGGTGAGACATAAGTATCTGTTGTGCTAATCACCGACATCGGGGTCATTGTTATAGCGGCTAGACTTCTCTGACAGACTCGCGGACGCGCAGAGAGTTTTCTGGAATCTTATCTCATTGGATTCTGAGCAGAGCCCTGGGAGTTTGGCAGGGCAAATACTGTTCTCCCTGTTTTGTTTCGTAGATTCCAAATCAAGAGCTCTTACTCTTGCCCCATATTGCCTCTCCAAACACAGAAGTCAGACCCAGAGGGACCTCGGAGGCTCTGGTCCCATTTGATAGCTGGGCAAATGAGGCTCAGAGGGGAGAGGTGATTTGTGTGAGGCCACAGAGCTGTTGGAACAGAGCTTTCTCTTTGGCAGATGCTCTTCCTCGAAAGCTTCACCCTTCTGTGTGCCCTTATATTCACCTGCTTACCCAGAAAAGGGAGAAGAACACACGTCCATCTATGTGTGTCTGGGCTTTGAATGCCAAAAGCCAATGCCCCAGATAAAGTTGCCTGGAAAAAAAGTCCCAGCTCTCGAGATAGTTCAAGGTCCAGTCTTCGATTTCAGGCCACCTGAAGCTATAGTAGCATTTGGTCATTCCAGCTCTGTGTTGCCCTGTGATCCCAGACAGAACCAGATCTCTCCCAAACATCCTTGTAGGATGTTTGCCTTTTCCCTCCTTCCCCATCTTGGCTACACAGAAGAATCACCTGGAAAGCTTTAAAAGCACTAATGTACAGCCCACCCCAAACCAGTTTAAATCAGATCTTTGAGAGTAGGGACTAATAATGTTTTTGGTTTTTTTAATAGCTCCCCAGGACACTCTAATGGATAGTTAGGGTGAGAATTATTGTCTTGGTGATAAGCTGAGAGTTCTGGACAATTAACCTGTTAGTCAAGGAAGGAGTCAGATGCCAAAACACTCAGAGTTCACAGACGACAATCATCCCTGCATTAAGGATGAAGGTCACAGGGTCAGAATGGCTCCTCCCTGGCTGTCACAGTGGCGGGAGGAGATTCAAAGAATACAATCGGAGAAAGTTTGATTTTTGTTTGTTGCTGTTTCTTAGCTTGTTTTGCAACAGGTATGGCATTCATTCAGAAATGTGACCCTGGGAGCTAGGAAGCAGACACTAGATCTCTAACTCTCTTGGGGTCCAGCCATGACATGAATAAAATCTTCTCAGATTTTTCTATTCCTACTTGTCATGGTTAATTTTATGTGTCACCTTGACTGGGCCACAGGGTGCCCAGACATTTGATCAAACATCCTTCTGCGCATCTCTGGGAGGGTGATTTTGGATGAGGTGAATATTTAAATCACTAGACTGAGTCGACAGATTGTTCTCCCTAATGTGGGTGGGCCTCATCTAATCAGTAGAAGGCCTGCATAGAACAAAAGGCTGACACCACCGCACCCCCTCCCCCCTGCCCCAAGTAATAGGGAATTCCTCCTGCTTGACTGCCTTCCAGTTGGGACATTGGTTTTTTCCTGCCTCGGGACTTGACAGCCTTCATAATAATGCGAGCCAATTCCGTATAATAAATCTCATTCTATGTATGTGTATACAGTAGGATACACTTCCTAACACACCCACAGAGGACCATGGCATCAGGATGGGGAAGGCTGATAGAATAATCAAACTTAGTGCTTCCTCAGCCTTCTTCAGCCAAGGAGTGGAACTGGGAGGTGGACATGTCCATCCAGATGCAAGGGTTACAGGGACACTCAGGTCATTTGGTATCCACAAAATTATTACCAAAGAGGTTGAATTTGTAATTCCTAAAGGATGTTCCCCTCAAACTAGAGTGTTGAGAAGAATTGTCCTTTTCTACTTTCTGGATATCAACCATCCGAATCAGCACCCCCTCCCTGGGATGGAAATGGAAATTTACCAACAAACTCTTTCCGGTCTGTTCTCTTTTGAAATCACTATAAAATCACTAACCCCAGGTCCCGTTTCCTCATGCGAGGTGAGCCATAAAACAACTGAGAGGAACACGTTGGTCTATGTGTGTTCCGATTCAGACCTGGGACTCCCGAGGTAGGTTAGCTCTGTACAGATGGATGTCACTTGGTACACTGGTTTCCATTTCAGAGGATGACCTTTCTCTGACCTTGACATGTTGACCATCTGGACCTCGCGGACTGCCCTTCCAACCAGGGCCGAGGACTTGTCTTGGAATCTCCTGGTGCATAGACAGCTGTCTCGGCATCTCAGCTGCTCACTGAAATCTGGGCTCGGCACCCAGATGCACTGTAAGCTGGAGTCACGTGGCTCACGCTTTCCTTCCATCCCATGCTTGATTCCCCCTTACCACCATGTGGAACAAAGGCTCAGATTGCTCTAAAAATGTTTGCAATCTTGGCCCTGTTTGCAGGGGTGGCTAAGTAACAATAGCATTGGTATCTTTGCGATTTGCCCTTTTGTATCCCTTAAAATAAATATCTTACTTTTCAGGTGCGCTTCTTCTTAACTCTAGAATGACAGAACCCCTTAGGGCTACAGGAAGGTGGGAAGTTATAAACATTTGTAATTTGGGAAGACAGCCCATACAACTGCATTTCTGATCATGATGGAAAAACTCCCCTTCAGAGCTCCCAGGGCAAGCATCCTAATTTTGGGACGTTTCCTTCTGCCCATTTGATTTGGGTGGGTGGGGGGTCATCTGTCACATCTTTGGTGGTGGATATCTGTTGTTTCTTCTGCCCAGCAATCCTCCCTGCTCGTTGTTGTCTTGGTGAGACTGTGGCCCAGGTGCCCTGCTTTGCCTTGGCCTTGGAGTGGGCACAGGACTGAGCTGGCCAATGGACTCTCTCTCCCTCTAGGCAAACCTTGTGCAGATGATGGCCAGCAGGGAAGAACGTGTGGAGCGCTCTCTGAGGTCACTGTCCACCTCTTCCTGTCCTGGTGGTGGGTCCACTCTGTTCCCTGCCCCTTACTGGTGCCTGAGGCTTCACTTTTCCTTCAATGCTTGGCCACTCTTTATTTTTGACAATTAAACTAGTCCTATGGGTTTCTACTGCTTGTATCCAGAGAAACTTTATTGGCACACCTCTCTTCCTAAAACAGCATGGTGTGCATCTATTATTATAATTAAAGTTGGGGCAAAGTAAGTTGGTTTTGAAATATTTAGATTTTCACAGGGCTGGCTCCACCACCATCCTCCTGGTGCAAACCCCAGCTGGTTAAAGACAACCCAGAATATCTCAACACCAGGATTCACGGACTTGCCTGATTCAGATGGAGCTTCTTCTGGCTGGGTGAGGCACTATGACGGTGGGGGTGAGGAGGTTGTGGAAAGGATGCGTGTCTTAGGGATGGTAACAATCTGGTAGCTGCACCTGCGTTGGACGTGCCCTCCCCTTCCCTGGGATCGGGGTCTTCAAGGTCATTAGAGTCAAGCCTCGTGAGGAGTGCTGTGGGTCTTCCTGGGTGACCACTAGGTGATACACATCTTGAGGGAAGGGTCGTCTCTCCTTGCTGTCGCAGGTTGATAGAGCATGAAGAGTCTGGGTTTGGGAAATGAGCTAGACCTTGGTTCTGATCTTCGCTCTGCCACTTACTAGCTGTGTAGCTTTGAGCAAATTACCTAACCTCTCTGAGCCTCTGTTGCCCTTTCAGTAAAACGAGGACAATTACATTGATACTGTACCTCACAAATCCTGATGAATGCACAGGGCAATCCTCAGTGAAATCATTAAGGGCATAGGGCTGGAGCTAGATTGAGGGGGTCAAATATTGGTTTGACTATACAGTATCAATGTATGGCCTTGGAAGTAATACCTGTCCCCTCTGGGTCTCACTTTCTCCTTCTGAGAAATGGGAGGAATGATAACCGTTATCTCATGGGGTCTTTATGAAGACTAAATGAGTTAATATTTGTCAATTGCTTCTATCACTACTTGATAGAGTATAAGCACTAGAGAGGTTTTTGTTAAATAAATGCAAGCATTTGGTGACAGATCTTGGCTATTATTGTCATTATCCCCAGTGTCCAGCTCAGTGACCTGCAAGCAGCTGGGGCTCACACAAGTGTGTGGATGTCCACTTCTCAAGATCTTCTCCCATTTGGGCAGCTGAGTTGGGGGTCGGGGTGAAGGTGAAGGTGGTCTTGCCTGCCCTGGGGGCCTTCTCACCTGCAAGGGAGGCCTACCCTGCGATGCAGCCAGGTGCACTGGACCCCTCTGCCCCCAGTCATACTGACCTGAGCTCTCCATGGGAGCCTGGGGTATGTGTGAGGAGGATGTGGTTGTCTCAGACAGCAGAATGGAAAGTAAAGTGGTTGTTTTTCCGCACAGAGGTGGTTCTGCAAAATAAAAGGCAGTTAGTGTAAGTGGTGGGAAGGTACAGAAAGTATATTTGGGGGAATGGAGAGGCTCCTAGGGGACCTAGGCTTCTAGTGCATTGGAGGAAAGCCTAGATTTATTTAAGAAATTCTTCTATGGTGCTGGCTATGTGCCGGGTACTCTTCTAAACACTTAAATACGATCAACTTTTTAACATTCATATTAACCTTATAATGTAGGTACTATCTTCCTCCCCATTCTACAGATGGGGAAATTGAAGTAAGGAGAGGTTAAATAATGATTCAAGGTCAAAGAGCTGGTAAGTAAAGGAATGAACTCAGACTGTCTGGCTCTCAAATGCATGCCCTTAGTCATGACCCCTGGCCGCCCGACCATGATCCCAGTCGGAGGGACCCCCAAAGCCTGCTTCCCAGAGCAATAAACTCCACAACTAAAAAGCAGAGGAACTATGAACAAATCCAAGAGTAAGTGAATAAAAATATGCCTGAGAAAGCTAATTGAGAGAGAGAGAGAGAGAACAAAAAGAAAATATCAGGAATGGTAAATATCAAGTATACTCAACGGAATAAAATATAATGTACTCTGAATAATTGTAGCCTGTTGATAATCATAGAAATGAATATTAAAATGTGATATACCATTGGCAATGATTTAAAACGATAACATACATGCATACCACATATGCACATATATATATGTGATATATGTTTATTTGTAGCAAAAAAAATATGAACTCTATATCTCACACATGGTTTTCTAGGGAAATAAAAATGACACAAAAGGCTTCATAAGAGTTAGCAAAACTGTTTATGTTAGTGAGCAGTGAAGAAATAAAGAAAGCTGTCAACGAATTAGCTCTTAAAAAATGATATACGTCAGGGCACCTGGGTGGCTCAGTTGGTTAAGTGTCCCACTCTTGGTTTTGGCTCAGGTCGTGATCTCAGGGTCGTGAGATCAAGCCCCGCATCAGGCTCTGCGCTCAGTGTGGAGTCTGCTTGAGATTCTCTCTCTCTCTCTCTCTCTCTCCCTCTGCCCCTCCCCCACTCATACACACGCTCTCTAAAATAAATAAATAAATCTCTTTAAAAAAAAAGGTGATATATGTCTCAGATGGTTCCTCTGATAAGCTCTCTCAAACCAGTGAAGAAAAATGTTAAGCTATTTCAACTGTTCAAAAGCATAGAGAAAGAAGGAAAGATTCTCTGAAAAAGTCAACTTATCCTTGATAGCAAAATCTAATAAAGATAGCTTAAAAAATAGATGAAGCACTCCACACTCACTGGGACAGCTATTTAAAAAAGAAAACGACAGAAAATAACAAGTGTTGGCAAGGATGTGGAGAAATTAGACCTGGTGCGTTGCTGGTTGGAATTCAAAATGGTGCAGTTGTGGTGGAAAAGAGTAGTGATTCCTCCAAAAGTTAAACATAGATTTACCACAGGACCGAGAAATTCCATTCCTAGGTAAATACCCAAGAGAATTGAAAATAGGGACTCTAACAGATACTTGCATATTGATGTGCATAGCAGCATTATTCAAAATAACCAAAAATTGGAAATACTCCAAATGTCCATCAACAGTTGAATGAGTAAACAAAATGTGGTATATCCATACGAAAGAAAATTATTCAACCTTAAAATGGAATGAACTTTGGACACATGCTACAACATAGATGAGCCTTGAAAACATCATGCTAAGTGAAATAAGTCAGGCCAAAAGGACAAATATTATTTGATTCTATTTACATGAGGCACTTACAATAGGCAGATTCACAAAGACAGGAAGTGTAACAGAGGTTCCCAGGGGCTATGGGGAAGGAGGAATAGGGAATTATTACTCAGTGGGTACAGAGATGATGAAAAAGTTCTGAAAATGGACAGTGGTGATTGTACAATGTTGTGAATATACTTAATGACACTGAATTTTTGTACTTTAAAATGGTTAAAATGGAAAATTTTATGGTATGTATATTTTACCACAATAAAAAATTAAATATTAAAAGTATAAAATAAATATCACTGATCGAATTCAATGAATTTAAATTATAATATATTCTGAATAATTCTAGATGATTGATAATCATAGAAAGGAATATTAAAATGTGATATGCCATTGGCAAGGATTAGAAAAGATTTGAAGTTGCTGAAGATATGGAAAAAATTGCTGAAGATATGGAAAAATTTGCTCTGTACTCAACTGGTGAGAGTGGAAATTTGTATAGCTTTTCTGGAGGGTAGCTGGGCAATAAGCATCAAAATTCAAAATGTGTATACTTTTTGTCCAAGCAACTCCACTATTAGGAATTTCTCCTAAGGAAATAATTGGATGAGTGCATAAGGAAAGTATATAACAATGTCCATCGAAACATTGTTTATAAAGGGAGAAAAACAGAAGAAACTTAAAGGCCCAATGACAGAGCATCAGTTAAGCAAATACAAGTTACTTGTGCAATGGAATACTAAGCAGACATAAAAATGATACATTTATTGAATTAAAAAGATTTTCAGAAGTATTCATTTTAAACACTAGGTAACAAAACAGTTAACACCTTTCTAACACATTAATTTTAAAAAGTATATTTCTAAATTTGCTCAGATGCATTGTAAAAAGTCAGGAAAAACTGAACATCAAAACTTGACATTGGAGGAGGTCCTGGTTCTAGTTAACATGGAGTAAGTATACTCGGCTGTAACTCTCCCACTCAATACAACTAAAAACTCTGGATGGTATGCATGGAACGGCTATCTGAGGATTCTGAAAAGTAAATGGTACCATGCAGAATGGGGAAGAAAACCAGTATGTGAACAATCTGACAATGAGTTTTCTGCACGTCCCCCCTCCCCATTATACCCTGGCCTGGACACAAAGACAGCCTGAAACTCACAAGTGCACACTTAGGGCAGACAGAAGGAGCTAGAAGAAAAGCCTCTCTTTCTGCTCTGAGGATCAAAAAATGGGTCCCCAAAGGATTGGAGAGATGGGGGAATTTACTTTTTCTTTTGCAGTTCCTCCTTCCATATCCCCCAGGCAATCTTGTAATAACAATAGCAGCAACAGGGATGGCACTGGTGGCCATGCAGGTGCCTAAAATTCTGAAAAAGGGAAATTCTTTCCTCTGACTAGAGGAACTATAGTTCCAAGGGCATGGGAAGAATCTTTAATGCTTTCTTCCCTCTATCAGAGGAACAAAAGCCAGAAATAACAAACAGAAGATGAATAATAAAGTGGCAGACCTGAATAAAAACATATCGATAGTTATATTAAATCTAAATGGTCTAAACACACCAATTAAAAGACATAGACTGTCAGTATTTTAAAAAACCAGAACCAACTCTATGCTGTTTACAATAAATTCACTTCAAATATAATGCCATAGACAAGCAAAAGAACAGAAAAAAATATATACCACTTGAATATTAATCAAAAGAATGCTGAAGTAGCTGTATTAGTATGAGACAAAGTAGATTTCAAAGCAAGGAAAATTGCTAGGAATAAGCTTCTTACTACTTTTCATAATGATAGCAGAGTTAATTCATGAAGAAGCTACAACAATCCTAAACATGTATGCACCTAAAAACAGGGCTTCAAAATACACAAAGGAAAAACTAATAAAACTAAATTACAAGTAGGCAAATCCAGTTACAGTTGGAGATTTTAGCAGTCCTTTCTCAGTGATTGATAGGACCAGCAGATGGAAAATCAGGAAAGACATGTAAAAACTGAATAATACTATTAACCAACTGAATTTAACAGGCAATCATTGAACACTACACACAACAATAGCAGAATATAAATTCTTTTCAAGTGTGCATGAAACATTCACCAAGATAGACAATACCCTTGGTTATAAAACAAACTTTAATAAATTTAAAATAACGGAATTATACAAAGTAGGTTTGCTGAACCTAATGAAATTAAACTTGAAATCAGTAACATAAAGATAATTAGAAAATCTCCAAATATTGGGATATTAAGCAACACATTTCTAAATAATCCATAGGCCCCAGCAATAAAATAAGTGGGTTAACACTTCCCAACTAATTTTAGGAGTCTAACGCTCTCCTGATATCAAAACCAGACAAAGATAGTACAAGAAAAGAAAATAGACCAATATCCCTTATAAACATATCTAAAAAAAATTCTGAGCAAAATATCAGCAAACTAAAACCAGCAATATATAAAAAGAATAATGTGTAACAACTTGATGGGGTTTATTCCAGGGATCCAAGTCTGGTTCAATATTTGAAAGTTGATCAGCGTAATCTATTATATTAAAGACTAAAAAAGAAAAACCATATGTTCCTATTAATTGATGTAGTAAAAACATTTAACAAATTTTAACATTCATGATAAAAACCTAGGGAACTGGGCGCCTGGGTGGCTCAGTTGGTTAAGCGACTGCCTTCGGCTCAGGTCTGGGATCGAGTCCCGCATCAGGCTCCCGGCTCGGCGGGGAGCCTGCTTCTCCCTCTGAACCTCTCCCCTCTCATGCTGTTTCTCTCTCTCTCTCTCTCTCAAATAAATAAATAAATCAAAATCAAAAAAAAAAAAAAACCTAGGGAACTGAATATAAGGGAACTTCATTAATCTGATAAAGGGCCTACACCAAAAAGCCTCCCAACTAACATATATAATAGCAAAAAACCCTGAATATTTCCCCTTAAAGTTTAGGAAAAGGCAAGGACATTCACTCTCACCACTTCTATTCAACAAATCAACATAATATTGGAAGCCAGTGTAATAAGACAAAGAAAAAAAAGTAGAAAAAGAAAGGAAAAGAGGTATACAGCTCAGAAAGGAAGAAATAAAACTATTTGCAAATAATACAACCCTATTCACAGGTAACAGGTGAACATAGAAAAATCCCTCAGAATCTACCAAAAAATCTCCTAGAACTAATAAGTGAGTTTGCCAGGATCACAGGACATATTGTCAGCATACAACATCAGACATATTTATATATGCTAAAAATAAACAACTGGAAACCAAAATTTAAAAC